ATAGTAAAGTTTTAAGTAACTGCATATTAGGGGTGAAACTTGCCCCATTCTCATCTCCACACACAATGGAAACTACAGCATACAAGAACTTCCCTTAAGTAGTCTTTTGCCTTCTAAGGAGCATATTGTGGAATATAACTATTGTCCTGAGTAGGAGGTGATGTACCACCCTAAGGGGAGTCGGGGAGGGTGTATGCCTCAGGGAGGACTCTCTCCTTATGAAGCCTGGTATGCGGGGACTGCACCATATGTACCCGCATCACTGAGAATACTACAGCCTGCCTGCTCTGCAAGCTGGTATAGGAAGGCCAGGTCACATCCTCCTCACTCCCTTTGGGGCTTCATGTGCTTCTGGGAAGCAGTTCATCCAGTCCCCTGACTACCCGGGCTGCATTTGTAACAGACCTTTGTGCTAGCTCTGCAAGATGTGTGTGGGCGGGCAGTGGGAAGGATCGGTTCTTGTGAACCCTCATCTCCGATCTCCACACATCCAAATAAAGACAGCCATTACTGATGTGACATGATTTATTCAATTTACAACATTTGGGAGGGTTAGGAATAAATTTACCCTTGTTGCTACCTGGGATGCACACTACAACCTCCGGCAGCAGAGGGGCAGCTTAATCTCCTAGGGACGGTCAGCATTCGCCTTCCTTTGTGGTTTCCACAACTGGAAAGCAATTTTAATTTTTGGTTGAAGCGCCAAAGAAACCCATATTCCAGAGGCTGCTCAGCAGATGTAGTGAATCTGCTACCCTGGCCATACCTATTCCCTCAGCTGGATTCTGTGTAGAACCAGCGGCTTCCAGGACTCTAGCAGACTTTGATGTGCTGGTGCCTTACTCTACTATGACCTCCATCCCAGCAGCTTTTCTGCCACTGTGGGTTATGCTGTCAGAAAATGAATGAAATGAAATAAATTTTCAGTTATTTTGTGTTTGAAGGATGTTGCTGCCTATCCAGGACGAACTGAATTAGGGGAATATAAAGCAACCAGCTGGAAGAAGCCAGCCTGAATCTAATCAGAGCCCCTGGGGAGAGGGCTGTGGGATCACCTCACCAGGGGAAAGGGTTTGGGCCTGAAGGGCCAACAGAAATGGTATAAAAACTTCATAAATCAGACGCTCCGGGAGAGGAATTGTATTTTATACCTCTGGACTGTGGGTTTTTTTTGGAGGAGCCCTGAAAGAAGGAGAAATCGAGGCAGGGTGCCTCAGAGCCCCAAGGAGACACTCGGGAGGCAGCCAACCCCATTACACTCTCCCATTTGTCTGTCTATATCCACCTGTTGTCTCGTTTTATATTTAAGCTTTTCGGGGCAGGGACTGTCTCTTTGTTCTGTGTTTGTACAGCACCTAGCACAATGGAGTCCTAGTCCATCAGTCTGGCTCCTAGAAACTGCCATAATATAAATAACTAATAAAAAATAACTTATACCCATTAGCCTGAGAGAGGGGGGTTAGGGAAAGCAAATTGAAAGAGTGGTGAGAATATCCACAATTATTTTAAATTAGCAGATGTCCTAACCAAGGTAGGGGACTGTCTCATGACATTTACAAAGCATGGTGTGTGCTATTTCTTTCTTCTAATGTACTGCATGGGCTTCCAATCTAAATGTACTGTATGCATTTTATCTCAAAGTACTGATTACTACCCATACACTTGAAAATAAACTGTGTAATGAAAAAATGTCTACAGGGGCACAGGATTTTAGAATACAAATATCTATAAAATAATCTACTGTTTCAGCAGTGATGCACACACATTATGGACACACACACGCCAGATTAAATGCTTTCTGTGTTTGTGGATCTGTACTTAAAAACTATTCTGCAGTTCAAATATAAATTTCAGTGTCATTGCATAAATGCGAAGCTGAATTACTCCATTCAGTTTATTTAGACACATACAACAATGCCACCTGCTGGACGGCAGCTTGTGGTACATACGCAACTATGCATTACATTTCAAAAAACAAGTGGAATCATTAGAAAAAAGTATTGTGGAAAGAAAGAAGGAAAACAAGAAAGAGCTCAAAATAACTGACTTTACGCTGGTGTTGTTATTAGAGGGAAATCTACCTGAATTTCCTATTGTATTTCTTCTCCCTGCACCCTGTATTTCTTCAAATGGTCTGCCTTATGGGACTTTCCTGGAGGGCAATGATGCCTGGAGAGAGTCTATTAATGAAGCTGTGAGTACTGGAAAACAGGCTCGGAGAAAATGGAATCATTCATCCATAGCTGCTTAAAATTTCAGATTTTTTTCTCTGAAAAGTTAGCTTGGTTGTCCCAATTTTGGGGCTGTGGCCTCATTCTCTCAAGTAACTTAAAATGAAATATTATTGGTGGTGGGATATTTGCCTGCTTTGTTTTGGACTGATGTGCTGATGTTTCTCATCTTTATTCTCTTGTTTTTAATGCATCTGACTCTCACTTCATTTTATATGGTTAGTTTTGTCCTTGCTTCAGGACCAGATTAACTCTCCTATAGACCCAGGGCTATTAGATTTTGTGAGGCCCCTGTATACAAGTCTTTTTCCTAATTTAAAACAAGATGATCACAATTATGGCATCGAGGCTATTAACGCTATACTAAGCTTGCCTTTTAATTAACATAAACCCATTCTGTGGTTACATTTGCGTCTTAAAACATGGAGAATTCAAAATAGCCTACTTCTTACCTTAGAAGAGTTGTTATATTCGTTTCTTTCTGGGAGGGAGTTTGCGTGCAGGAGTGGGCTCCAGGCTGGGGCACAGTATTGGGGTGCAGGAGAAGGTGAGGGGTGCGGGAGTTTGGGTGCAGGAGGAGATTCTGAGGTGTAGGCTCTGGCTGGGAGGCACTTACCACAGGTGGCTCCAGGCTGGCAGTGCAGCAGGACTCAGGCAGGCTGCCTGCCTGCCATAGCCCCACACTGCCCCGGGAAGCAGCTGGCTGCTGGTATGTCTCTGTGTGCCCCTGGGGGTAGGGGGACAGGGTGTTTCTGTGAGCTGCCCACGCCTGCAAGCACTGTCTCCACAGCTTCCATTGGCCGGTTCCTGGCCAATGGGAGCTGCAGGGATGGTGCTGGGGGCGGGGGCAGCGCATGGAACTCCCCCTCCCCTTAGGGCTGCAGAGATGTGCCAGCAGCCGGCTGCTTTCAGGAGCTGCGTGTGGCCATGGCATGCAGGCAGCCTGCCTGAGCCCTGCTGTTCCGCTGGACTTTTAGCAGCCCGGAGAGCACGATCGACTGGCAAAGGCTCCAGGATTGACCAGTGAATTGCAATTGGTGGGTTGGAGACCACTGAATTGTATATAATTATGAATTTATTTTTGCGTGGCCCCCTTAGCCCGAGGCCCTGGACTGCAGCCCCTAAAGTCCCTGCATTAATCCTGCTCTGCCTTGCTTTGGTCGGAGTTAAAATGCCACTGCCACTAGTGGTCTGAGACTACGTAGTCACTTATTTCACACTGAAATAAACATTTTCATATCTAAATGTTATTATGGATAGTCTCTCTACGGTCTGAAACCTACATTTCAGCATTACTCTAGTCCTCCTCCACCAAAGGTGCCTGCTGTTGCTTCTGAGTGCTCAGTGTGACTGTGTCCACCAATGTGTGTGTTCCTAGTTCTCCCCCCTCAACAGTGTCTACCGCTGAGCCATTAACTCATATCTACTTCAAGCCCAGGAGTGTGCTTTGCTGAATATACATGCTTGGGCTTGTTTTGATTAAGTTTGCTGTGGAAAACCCACATTCTACTTCTGTAGAGCAAGCGGATAATGAGAAAAATATCAGAAGAGCAAAGGAAGGTATCCAAAAAAGTAGGTGAGCTGGTGGCTAAAGGCTGTGTTAAATTGTACGTGCAACACTAGTTGTGGATTTTTTGGTATTTAATTGTAACTTTAGGGGTTAATCACGCCTTTCCCTATTAATTCAATACCTGTGTAAAGTGACAAAGCAGATTGCCATAATGGGCCAACTGTTTTCTTTAATCACTAGGCCACTAAGGGAAGGAAAAGCATGAAAACAATGTGAATGGTGTTTTGCTGTAGCCTGGTGAATCTGGCATCCATCCATCTGCTCAATGGAAGCTTCAGCATGTAGATCTGATTTTTCTCATCTTCTGTCCCTAACGATCCAGAAATGTTCATCCCTTTAGATTTGCCATCCCTAAGAATAAGTTTTTTGATATATGGGCCAAGATGGTCTTTCATTACTGCAAGTCTCTTTCTAGCTGTTGTAAATAATGATTAAGATTGTAAGGAAATACAAGGAGCCCACAATTTTTCTGGTTATCATCCGCACTTAACTCGGATTACATCAGCCTTGGCTCAGTTTCTACAATATGTTCTTTTTGTGTGATGTTGTGTGATAGGGTGTATTGACTCTTTGGACTATATGGAAAGAAATCTATTTGGCCAACAGTCCCCTGCATCAAGCTGATGTTTGGAAGAAAATTTTACCACCTTACCCTCTAATATAGGGGAGTTTATCTAGGAATCAGAGAGGCTAAACAAGATGGTGAATTTGACTGGGAGGCTTGGTTAACCCTATATATTGGCTAACTATAGACTTGCTCACCTTCCTTAGGTGTGCCCTGGGGGCTCAGAAACCAGAAAGACAGTTAAGTAAGGATTCTTGCCCAGAGAGCTGGGGAAGATAATTTGCGATTACATGTGACTATTTGTTTCGTTCATTGTAATTGTTGCTGGGTAAGTACAGTGTATATTAATATTATTATTAGAACACTTGGATGTTCACAGAGTATGAATGGTGCTATGTACAAAACAAATCTACTTCTGTAGAAGCTAGAGAATGGAAAAGCAATGGTGGGTATTAAAATAGAGAATACTAATACTGAAGGATCTTCAGTTTATATTTTGTAAATAACAAAATATCTTTACAGTAAGTACGTGCCTCAACAGAAACATGGAACAGATTTAGCACTTTTGCACCATTTATTTATAAGTAGCAATATAAGTATAGTGATTTTCTTCATTCAAATGTTATTGACTTACCCATTATCCAAACCATTCTGCCCAAGTTTCTTTCCTATGTCACCCACCATCACCCCTGGCATAGGAAGCAGCGTTTTTGTATCTCGAATCTGTGTGCAAATTAAATGAAACATTATTTTAGTCCTGAGAAAACTAAAGCTCTTGATGGAATCCTTTCAAACAGTGAAAAGTACTCCCAATCTATTTTGTTATTAGCATTTTAAAAAAAAAACCCTCACTATTTTTCCAAATACAGATAAATAGAATCCAGTCTTGGATATAGTTTCTGCTTAACACACTCTTTTGTCCAGGATACTATAAATTCAATAATGAAAGTGACTTGGAAATCTTTCACTTTCTTTGATAACATGCCACTAATTACACTATCATGCTCCAAATGTGCATCTATATAGAAGAATCTTCTAATCACAATTAGCATGAAAACCTTCTTTTGGTCTATGTGGACAGGAACAGGAATCAACAAAACTGACTAACTTTATGTACTAATTGTGTCCTGCCTTTCCCAGAGATATATGACGTGTTTCATCTGGTCAGCAACCCAGTTCGTTTAAATACGTGTAGCTTTGCCACTGCTTCTGCAAGTTTTCTACTGAAAATGGCTCCAATCCTGCAAGCTGATCTCTGGGGCTGGAACCCTGCTTCCATGCAGATTGGCTTGTAGGATCAGAACAAATACTGATACCCGAAAGAGAGGGCTTGAAAAATTGGCTCACCCATTTCAAGGAGAAAACTTTCCCATGAGAACGTGATCAATTTCTGCAAAGTCCATGCTTTCATTTAAAAATAAAATTTGGTAGCCCTTAAGATTACATAGATAACTCTCCAAATGTGCCCAGCATGTGAACTAATGCAGAGCCCATAGGATTAGACCATTCATTTGTATTTATTTTGTTTTTGCAAACAACCTTCTTTACACATTAGGGTTTTTATGTTTACTGATTTTTAAAAAAAAATTCTTCATGTTTAATGCCCAGAAGTTCCTTTACATTGACTTTTCTATGACTAAGCCCCAGGAGGTCTCCCTCTCCCTGCTACAAGTATCATCTCTTCCTGGTTTAGGCTTGCCCTTCTCTCTTCCCTCTGTTGTGGTCACACAAGGATCAAAGGGCACTACTAACTACAGCAGGCTTGCGCTACAAGATGACATCCATGACCAGCCAGTAGGGAAGGTCATCCCACAGTGGATGTTGCAAGACAATGTTTTCTAAAAATATCATGTTTCACAAATATGTCAAAGAACTGTTTTCGATCAGTGCTTACATTCCAAATGCAAGGGTAACCCACTGGTCAGTGTGTGCTAGGCAACCCTTTCTGTGCCCAAATCACAGACAACGTGAGTCTGTTACAGCCCCTGATTCTTTAGCGCGAGTTATAGAAAACTCGCTCTCTGAGCTTTTAGGTCCCTGGTTCAATCCCACTGTCGTCCAAGATGACATAAGCAGCTTGAATTTCAGCAGTTTGTAGCATCCTGCATACACATTTCAGTTGACATTATATGCTCAGGTTCTACCTTGCCATAAACTAGCAGTGGCCTGGCACAGTCTAGTAGTATGTCACAGTTGGAAAGCCAGTGTTTGTCTTTCATTTCACTTGCAATACATGCTGCCACTTGAAACGTCACAACTCACTCCATAAATTCCATTTTTTGCTTCATACATGTAATGTTCAAAAAACAATTGAAAAAAATCTATCCCCACTTCATTCATCCCAGAAATCTGATATTTCAAAAAATGATGCTAGAATTAATTACCATGTTTTTGGCCCCTTTGGGAGATCCACAGAAGTCAATGCAGGTGCAGTGTGCAAGTGATGAGGATCCTTATTAGAAAACAGGACCTGATCTAATGGTCACTGAAAACAATGGAAGTGTTTCTACTGTTTGGCTTTGGACATGCATGACATCCAACATATGCCCTCACTTATTCTCATTGTATTTATTATTATATATCTGTCCAGTTTGTGTTAGGCACTTTCCAAACACTTAGGGACATTTTTTGCTCTGAAGAGCTCCTGATCTAAAGTATTTCACACTTTGTAGGCTCTTTCAAACTGCACGTGTGATGCAATAATATGGAGATTCATTTCTACTTTCTAGTTATAGCAATTTGCTACTATTAATTCGACTGTATTCTTGCCTCAAAAGCACAGTGATCAAATAAATACTGAAGTTTGGTAGAAAATGTTAAAGACATTTTTACAGAAATTGCTTAATGGACATAATACAGTGACATGAAAAAAACATAAAGTAGTACTCTTTTCTCACCTGCACAACAAAGGAATGTAATCCGTGGCACTGCCCATCAGGAGTGTACAGCTGGGCGTAGACGACAGCATGAGTGGCATTTTTCCCCATGTTGCCAACCCAAAACTTGGCAGCTTCAAAATCAGGAGTGTTGATGATAAATTTCTACAAACAGTCAAAAAGGGGGAAGTCTTAAATCATACAAATCAATGTACATCCATCACTTCTTTTTGTTTGCTGCCACTGTAACATTTTGAAAATTGCCAGCATTTCATACTGTACTTCGATCCAACATGCTCACAACAATGAAAGTGAATTTGACAGGAATCTATCGGGCTGAGCTTTATTCTAGAACATGTGTCTAGGAAAAAGTCAGGGCAGAACAAGAGCGCGACTGTCAACCTGAGGCCTAAAATTCAGCCTCTCAACTTTCTTATAACATGAGGAGGGGAGGGAGTGCCACGGAGACACACAATGGTCTCTGGGTTTGTTTTTTTTTGTGAATGCAAAACGCTCCTGACATTTGGGCATAATCAGGCATCTTGATATCAGGCCCTATTCTGCAATGTGCTCCTCACCCCATAGACCTCATTTACTTCAATGGGACTTTATATGTGAGGACAAGTCTTCAGTCACTGAGCTGATTGCAGGAGAGGGACATGAGGTGTTATATTGCCTAACTGACTTAAACAGAGAAAAATATATCTGCAATCATTTGCTTTCACCAATATGGAGGCCCAGTGAAGGGCAAGCTGGAATTTTTGCCTAGTTAATGGCATATACTGTGCTTATGTTTTCAATCCCTAATTCCCATTGCTTAATATTTTAGAGCCACTTTATGACATACAAGATATGTCTACACTGAAATCACTGAGTGTGATTGCAGCTTGTATAGACATATGCACAGAAATAAGATGGATTTTATCTGAGACTGTACAACTTGCTGGACAGCTTCTGAGCAGCCTCCCTGGAGGGCTGCCACGGAGCCAGCTGCTTCGGGAGCTGGAAGCAGAAATTAAAAAAAAAAAAAAAAGGTTTTGGTTCTTCCAACACAGAATTTTTCTGAAAATGTCCCTCTCAGGGAAAATTTCACGTATCTGACATTTTGTTCCAATTCAGAATTAATCTTTTTTAAAAGCAAAATTTTTTTGTGGGATGGAAATTCCAGTTTCCACGCATCTTTATTACTACTAAAAAGTGCTAGATATGAGCAAAGTATTAATTATTGTTAATCATAGAATCATTTTGGCCTGATATCTTTATAACAGATGTGATACTCTGTATCTTGGGGGAACTCCCGGTCCCCCATGTTCATCCTTATAACATGATTGTGTGGTAACCAATGCAAAGTTTGTCATGTCAGGTCTTTTCGGAAGGCTCATGATGCACTGACAATAACATTGTTATTATAGTAATGTTCTAGGTTATAATTTCATGTATATAGTTATGAGGCTGAAAATGTGTCCTCATGGCTTAAAATAAGCCCAGGCAAAACTCTCCAGGAACAGAGGGGCAGTTCACACCTCATCAGGGCACGTATGGGACAAACTCAGCCCAGCCTCACAGGAACAAAGGACACTGGCCCATGCAGCAACAAAGGATTGGTTGGGCTCTTGACTGAGTCACCCCTCTTCCCTTGGTAAGTTTGGGACTACGATGAGGTAATGCTCACCTGACCCTGAAGTGGGTGGGGGGGCAAAGTCAAGAGGAAAGAAAGAACATGATAAAAGGAAGAGACGTTTGCCACCTACATCTACAGACACCACCACCAAGTGACTGAAGTGCTGATCAAAGGGGAGAGCCTGGCTGAAGGGCAACCAGCCAGCCTGTGGTGAGAAGCATCTAAGTTTGTAAGGGCACTGAAAGTGTTAAGACCAGCTTAGAATGCGTTTTGCTTTTATTTCATTTGACCAAATCAGACTTGTTGTGCTTTGACTTATAATCACTTAAAATCTACCTTTTGCAGTTAATAAATTTGTTTATTCTACCTGAAGCAGTGCATTTGGTTTGAAATGTGTCAGAGACTCCCCTTGGGATAACAAGCCTGGTACATATCAATTTCTTTTCATACAAGCTTGCAGCGTCCAGTGGGCATAACTGGACATTGCAAGACAGAGGTTCCTAGTGTTGTGTCTGGGACTGCAGATATTGCCATTCGGTTGCACAATCCAAGCAGTGGCTGGTCAAAAGTGCTCACTCATATGCTGGGAGCAGCTTACATGTTGGAGGCTGTGCGTGAACAGCCCAGGAGTGGGGGTTCTCACAGTGGAGCAGGATAAGGCTGGCTCCCAGAGTCGAGGATTGGAGTGACCTCGCAGATCACTGGTTCAGATAATGCCAGAGGAACGTCACAACAGAATGTAAACAATAAAGTACCAAATGTCACTTCTGTAGGTTACAGACTGACCTGTGTGCTGGGGTCGTATCTGGCAGTTGTCCGTATGCCCTTGGTATTGCTGCCATGGCTGACTTCAGTCAGAGCAAAACATCCAAAAATCTAAACCGTGAATCAGGAGGTGCAAATCAACTCAATGTTAACACGGTAACTCAAACATTTTAAAAGTCAAGAGTGTTACTCAATATGGTATTGCTGTAAAAATGAGAGTTAATAAAAATCCAGCTGCTTAGTAGGAGGTTGCATTGGGCCAAATTCATCCCTTTTGTAAGCCAGCACAATTCCTGCAATAGGGTGGCAGTGCTTTTCCACTGAGCCATCTTTCTGGCAGGTGTTGTAATCCTGCAGGGAGCTGCTGACTCATACTGGCAGGTGTAGATTATTAATTACACCCATCATATAATAAAAGTGGGACTGGCTCTTTGAGTAGAAGGAACTGTTGCCTACAAGACAGGAATGGTGGGTCAGTCTCTCTGTAGGGAAGTCATAGGAACAGCCAGTGCTTAATTTATGCCAGGGCTGAGCGTCGGCACCTTTAGGCTTGGCAGTTCATAGCCCTGGCACTTCTGAGCTTCCTGCGTCAGTTATGAATATGAAAAATTGCTTGACCCTCAGCACCTTATTGATTGAGCCCTGGTATCTCTTTCATTACAAATTAAGCACTGGGGACAGCTAGTTTGGAAAAAGATTAGGCTGTCTATGTTTTATTGAAAAATTGTCAATAATGCAAACACTTGGAAGGGGTAAACTCAGACTAAATCCAGAGTGGGTAAATTCTTTTCTTAGCAAGGTGCGAAGTCCACCGGCTCGCAATTCTACTGCATTCAATGAATTGCATTCCCTTACACTAGGGCTATATTTGGCCTGTTATCTTTATTCTTGCGCATCCTAAAAAGGCAGGGTAGTACAATTGGATTGGGGTGTGATTGGAAAGCAAGCCCGCACCGCACTCAGTCCACAGCAGCGGCTTGGCTACTGTCCCATGAAGCTGGGCCCAGCTTCCCGCTCCAAGCATTGGGACCTGGTGTGTGGAGTCAAAGAACCACTCAGGTTTGACCCAGCTGCCCCTCTAGCATGATGGAGGGGTCCCTGGGCCAAATTTCAGTGAGTGGCACTGCAACCCTGTGTGCCAGGTCACAACACCACTCAGTTTGGGAGCCCTTTCGAAAAGGTGGAAAGATTAAATTGAAACTTAAGGCAAAACTACTGCAACAGATACAAAGCGCTAAGCTCTATTTGATGCTAAGGGTCTTTAATTGTGTCACTAATTGGATTCATATTGGTTTAACAGTGAGCCCATCTACATAATCAACTACTTGCTACATAACATGAGCTGATCAATAAATAAGCATTTTTTTTAAAAAAAGGAATGAAAGAAAAAGATCACACAGTATTTCAAGTTAGTGGCAGTAAAATTTTGCCAGTATCGATTTCATTATGCTAGTCATCCTAAGGGAAAAAAATGAAATAAAATAAAATACCTCTGATAAACAGGGAGTGCTCTTTCACAATAATTAATACTGTATCTAGATCTGTCACTAGTGTGATGTTTCTGGACTATGGAATGGAATGGATAATTCACCCTAGGGCTCTGACTGGGTGGCAGAGCCTGCCAATGTAGAGAAAGGTGAATATTAGAGAAGGCCTCCTCTCTCTAACAGTGTAATCTTAAATCTCATTAAGGACAATGCCAGAGCAAGTAGTGTTAATGGCTCCAGCCCTTCCTTGAGGAGCACTCAAGCCAGTACGACACAGCATAAACAGAATGGGTCAGGCAGATTAACAGAGCCAGACACTAAGGTGGATCTGGGCTGGCTAGGACTCAGAATGTGAGTTGGTTCACTTCTGTTCCTGAAACTTAAGAGAAAGCTTAACTTGTAGTGAAGTGAAGAATAGAGGAGAGTAAATATACATGTTGGCTGTCTTAAAATAACCTTTTTCTCTAATGCTTTGTTCTAATGGCTAAATAAAAATACTTTGCTTTAAGAAGTCTGTTGGTCAATATCACGAGTCACAGGTTCTGGCAGGGTGGAAATGCAGGTGCCTGAGATCCAGCCAGACCTGCAGGGTAATAAGTGGTTTGTATCTGGGCCCCAGTTTAATGATATGTCTAGACTCCAATCACAGGGTATGACTGCAGCTCAAGCAAATATTTCTGACCTACTTTTAACATCACTAGCTCAAGGCTAGCACCATGAGTAAATTACCTAGAATTCTGGGCAGGCTTGTGTCACACTACCATGGTTTCACTGCTCTGGCACTCAAGCTAGGCATCTACTCGAGCTGCAATCACACCCTGTTATTGCAGACTGGACAGACCCTAAGAGTGGAAGAACTGCAAAATTCCACCCCGAGTCAGGTAATTATAGAATCATAGAATATCAGAGTTGGAAGGGACCTCAGGAGATCATCTTGTCCAACCCCCTGCTCAAAGCAGGACCAATCCTCAATTTTTGCCCCAGATCCCTAAATGGCCCCCTCAAGGATTGAACTCACAACCCTGGGTTTAGCAGGCCAATGCTCAAACCACTGAGCTATCCCTCCCCCCTTAAGACAATGGTGAAGGGCTGAACACCTGCATTCAGAGATCAAAAAGGGCCAAGAGGTGCTGCTAGCCCCTTAACCATGACAATACCCAACCCTGAAGAGTTACCCCAAAATTACCTCCATGTTACTGGTTTGTTTCATGAATTCCTGATGCCTTTCAGAGCCAGTATTCGCAATTGCACCACCGAACACCTGAAAACACAAAATGAGAGAGATGACTGTGAAATCTCTGTCAAAATGCTGGAAAGAGTGCTTGAATAAACACAACAATCACTAAGCATGACATTCACCCTTAGTAGGGGGCCAACAGAAGCATCCAACACTTAGGTCTCACTTAAACGCTATTTTCAGGGCTTAAAGTGGTGATCTGGCTTTGTGCTAGCTCCTCTGCACTGGACTGAATGTCATACAAAGTCAGAACACACTTTGCATTATACAGAAGAGAGGCCAAGGATGGAATGGGTCATGGAGACGTTGCTCCTCATGACAAGCCCAGCTTTAGGCAGCTGTAACGGAACACTCAGTGGGTTCACTTTCCACTGGCGTCTGTAGTTACAGGTGCAAAAGCCCAGTTTAGGGATGCAAAACCTTTGAAAACATACTAGCTCACTGCACATAGTTTGGTTTTAAATGACTTGGGGTCTGACTCTGAAGTTGGCCAGCAAATCTATCCCAGATCAGCAGTAATTGAAAGCTTTTACAATCTCATGCTGTTCTAATTACAAAACAGTTGGTGGTCGTAATTCAGTTCCTGCTGGACAGCTATCTACGTCACAAAATCACAACCACAGCTGGTACTAAGTAGCAGAGCTGGCCATATAGCAGAAGAAATCATCAGTCAAATAGATCATTTAATGGACATAGAAATTGTCACTAAATAATACATTCAGCCAATGTGATTCAAACATCTCTATTGACTATCCTTACTGGAAGATTCAACTGAAGGACAAAGGATTGAGGGACAGATCCAAGGCCCATTGAAATCAATGGGAATCTTTCCACTAGCTGCAGTGATTTTGGGAGCATGCCCTGAATGAACAAGGCCAATTTCCCCTCTGACACAAAAAAGGGCTGGCCCCTCCAAGATGGAGGTGAGGCTCATGTGGGGAAGTTTTCAGTATCAACACCTCTGATGCACCTGTTCTATTATCCAAGAGTGAAGTCCTGGCATTACTAAAGTCAATGGCAAAGGTGTGTCCCATTGATTTCAGTGGAATCAGAATTTTGCACCAAGCCTGTCCAATTCCTCACTTTTAAACAGTTTAACTCACTTTTCTTATTTAAAAAGAGATAAATAGTTGTATCGAGATATTGTTTTTAGAAAATGTTCCTCAAAGAGGGGGGAAAAAAATCTATGAAAATGCAGTGCGACACAGTAACAAGACTTTTCTCTGAACTGAACTTACCTGAGCATTTAACAAATATTTGGTACCTAGAGACCAATCATACATCCCTAGGCAGTTTATAAGAACCATAATTTTCAATGGCTTCTCCATGATATCTTCCAGTTTAAGAAACTCATATTCAAAGAGCCTTTTACAGCGTAGGAATGTCAGCTCACGATACTTCTCAAGGGTCACATCTTCTCCAGGGTAGCGAGCAAAGACAGGATCATTTTCAAAAGCAGAGAAGATTCTATTCTTGAGGGGAGAAGTTGGCAATAGATATTTAATACCAGAAAGTTGGACAAAGTTCAGTATTAAAGAATCAAGTTAATTTTCCTCCCTGGCTGAATTAGGCTTTCTAGCACAGCAGCTGTTTGTTCAGCCAAAATAAAGAAATAAATATCTAAATAAAATTTAAAAACACAAAAGGCTGAATTAAAACAACTGATATATGCAAGAGAAAAATATATTAAAATGTGGTTTTACAGATAACGTGAGTGCCAGGTGCATCTTTCAAAGTGAGGCAGCCACACACTTAGCACTGCATGAGTCAGAAATTCCTGTAAATTGCCATTTATTAAAATTAAATCTCCACAGTACTGGATGAGTCAACATATCCCAGGAACAGTGTTAGGCCATAGTTGCCTCACATGGTTGCATTTTAGCTGCATTATTATTCGATTATTGGCAGGAGTCTAATATTGTTTTAGTGCTAGTCCTCCTTTGAGCATCAGTGTAGAGCACTGAGGGTCATATTCAGGCTCTTCGCCAACTAGCAGTAGCTGTGTAATGCCATTTCAGCCATTATGTGGCCACCTACGACTGCTCTCTTCCCAGAAGGGAGCAGTTGCACAGTCCATCTAGTCCAACTGCCAACTATTGCCACCAGGGCTGAGTTCTAGGAAGAGTCTGCGCACCTTCTAATGGGCTAACTTGGAGCAGTTCCTTCCCTGGCTGACTGACTGACTGATAATCTGCCCAGGACAATTTTTAAAGGGAGCTTGTATCTGTGAAGATGTCTGTGTCTTCTTAGGCAAACAGCTTCATTCATATAATCTAAGGAGAAACACACAGTGCTTTTGGCAGAAGATGTGCCTTTCCCTGCTCTTCAGAGAGAAGGTGACTGGGAGGAAAAAGAGGGAACTCTCTCTCCCCCCATGAAGACTATTGTATTAATTTTGATGAAATAAATGGGCCCAAAGAGTGAAAGGTGTTAACATGACCCTGAAACTGTCGAACATTGAACTGTTTAAACAAGGTTTGGGGTTCGGTATACAGAGATCTTTTATGTTGTCAAAGATCTCTGTATACCACACCCCGAACCTTGTTTAAACAACATAAAAGAGTGGACTGGAATGGACTTCGTGGAGACTCAAACACTGACACACAATCGTCAGGAGACAATTGGTTGATTGCTCATCAATGATGGTGCCCCAGTGACCAATGCACTTATGGGAGTGATGATGATGATGATGATACAGAGATCTCAACCTGCTTAGTCCCATGACAAACACACCGTGTTTGTCGCCTTTTATCATAACCCAGCTCATAACAATATGCGGTCTTGGCTGGCTAAGTCAGACTCTTATTAGACAGAAGGAGAAAGGAGAGGAATAGGAAAGAGAAGAAATGAAGTAGGGAAGGAAAAGGACTGAGCAAGAGACAGAGACAGTGGGTGAGTCTGTCTGTCAAAGTGTCACATCCCAAATGGGTGTTTGGAATTCAGCCAGAGCTAGTGGAGGTGATGATGTCATGCCAGTCCCTTTCTTGGCCTGGTCAGGACTTCTCTCAGTAAATGACAAAGACCCAATGGTATTACGGGACATCCAAGGAGATGGTGGGGGTGGCAGCCATGATGGTAAAGCTTGTTGCAGCAGCTGCTGGCAGACAGCTGCTTCTTCTCCTTAATTTTCCCACCCCTAGTGGTTTTTTTTTCTTTTAAGACCCCAAAAGGGAGTGATGGGCGGAATAGCCCATCCCCTCAATATTTTGTTTACTAATTAGGCCAAATTTTTGACACCCCAGTTTTGGTCAAGGTAGATAAAAATCAATACTTTAAAATAAAATAAAAAAAACTCAATTTTTTTCATTTAAATTAAATACAGGTTATTTTAAAAAAAGTAAACCTAGTTAAAATTAGATTTGAAACTGACAATCTATGTTAAGGCCTAAACTTAATATCTATTAAAATAATTTAAATTAAATACAAAAAATATATAAATTACTACATATTTTTGCCTAGTTTTAATGAAGGTCAAACCACTGAACTGGTAGAAGTGACTTACTAAGCACCTGGAACTAGATTTTGTTGAAGTGCTAAACCAGCTTTTGACAACAGTAGTCTTTTCTGCCGGTGCAGAGAGAATATTTTCTTCATTACAGTTTATTCAACGTGTTCAGTTCAATTACTAGATCATTCAAATTTAAGAAACCAAATGGAAGTTGAAAAAGCAGAAAACACTTGTTTTCCTCTTCCAATCTATGAATAAAAACTAGGTGTGAGAGGATGAAATCTACTAGTTCTAAAATATCGAAAGACATGGTGACCGGAAACAATCAGTTCAATTTACTAACTACAGATAATGCTTCCTCTGTTTCATAAATCAGCTAGTTTTAAATACAAACCATGTTTTGATTATTTTTTTATTAAATAAAATTAGTTTTAATATGCTGAATACATAAAAAAAGTTAAAGTACTGTTGTGCATTTTTAATTAAATATTCCATCCAAATAGTTTCTCAAATCACAGGTTAAAAAAAAAATCTTCTAGTAAATAAGAAATGCATCATTCACCTTTTTCTAATAAAATACGTAAACACTAACAATCTGAATAAAGGTTAACTTAAGCTTCATAATTGCTTAAATGTACATAGATATTGTGTATCCTCCTGATTAATGAAAAGAAGCACCAAATTTAGTGTAAAGACTATATTTAGTTGCAAATCAGCATGTTTTAATGGTTACCAGCCAATGAGAATAAACCTCTCTTTAGGAAAATAACTAAAGTACAAATGCAAAACATGACTAAAATCGATGATTTAAATCAAGATTTTCTGCATGCTGATTTAAAATCATTATTAAAAGCAGTCATTTAAGTCACTGATTTAAAATCAGTCCACCCTGATTTTGGTCCATCGATTTCTTGTTTCATTTTTTGGTTTACCAGGCATGATCTTAATACAGTTCTTTAATTATGGTAATAGGCTTTTTGTTTAGACTAATTTTGTTTTGTTTTTGTTTCCACTTTGCAGTTTCTCTCATTTATTGGAACATTTGATAAACTTTTAATTAGTTTTTATTAGTTGAGCTTACAATTAGGGTCAATTTGTAGTCCCAGTTATTACAACAGTGTTATCTGCCTGTGCAGCTCTGCAACTCCCTGGTACAAAAGAGTATTTTTGTCCTTTAGCTTTTTAGTAGGTCAGCCAGACGCAGAGCAAGGTATTTACGATCCCTCTGATCTTTTAAGGTTTGTGTATCTAAAGCCCAGAGATATTTTTGTGATGCTAGCAGACCAGGTGCCAGCTCAAGCCAAAGTCCCCACATCTCAAGTGAATACTGGCAAATATATAGCTGGTATCAGTCTGGCTTGCCTGTTTGTAAGTATTGTTAAAATTGGTTCTAAGAAAGTGTTTAGACTTCATTGAATGCTTGTGACTTGATTTGTTGCATGTATTAATCTCACTTATAACATCTGTTCCCATATTGTATGGTAATATTTGAGTGGTTGTATTGTGAGCCTCTCTGACTCACCAAACAGGAGAGAGACATTAACTAGGGTGAAGTGCTGATCTTCAATAGAAGACGTTAAGTCCTGTCCAACAGGAAAGGTCTATCAGCACCAGACGCACTATTGTGGGACATTAAAGAGGACAAAAGACGTTTGTTCTGCCCTCCTCCATGTGAAGATGAGTCATGCAAGTGGATTCCTCCCATCAGGGCAGCTTGCAGCTCAGGGCATACAGCAAGAGGGGATAAAAACTCCTAACTATCCCTGCTTGGATTCTGGGGGTTGGGAGGAGGAAAGGGTTTTCTAACATAAGCAAGAAACCCCCAGATGTTTAGTCTGGGTTAGCCCTAAAGGACATATACAACTTTTTTATTATAGCAGCTTCTATTATCTTTTGAAACTTAAAATTGTAACTCATTTGTGTATATATGTTTACCTGTTTTAACCTTATAAATAACTCTCTTGTTTCCTTTTCCTATTTAATAAATATTTATTAGCATTTACCAGCGAGGATTGGCTACAAGCGTGGTCTTTGGTGTGAGATCTAAAGCGCAACTGACTTGGGGTAAGTGACATGGGGGTAACCTTAATATTGCTGTGATTCTTGGTGAAGGGATAATCTATCTCAAAAATATGATCACCTGGGGGCTGCGATCGATCAGAGTACCCAAAGGGACTGACTCTATGTTAATGCTTTTTATAGTGCCTGAAGAGTGTCCACATGATAACAGGTGGTGCAATCTAAGGGCAGGTCTACATTTAAAATGCTGCATCAGGACAGCTGCACCTGTGCTGCTGTCATGCTAAAGTAAAGATGCTCCTATGCCGACGGGAAAACTTCTCCTGTTGGCGCAGTTAATCCACCTCCCCGAGACGTGGTAGCCATGTGGACAGAAGAAGCTCTTCCGTCGATGTAGTGCTGTCTACACGGCAGGTAAGGTCAGTATAACTATGTCAGTCAGGGGTGTATACAGGGTAGACCTGGCCAAAGCATAGAACTCACCATTTGGGATTTGTGCCCGGTCTCCTAACAGCCTGCCCTGCGGCTGGTACTCCTGCTCTTGAGTCAGCGCAGGCAGAACTACAGATTCCATCTGGATAGGGTCTTACGCAAATATAGTAGGCCACTGCTTTGTTAATTGGAAATGGAGACTTTAATTTGGTGTCTGCTGTAATTTAGTATTGCTTCCCTATATTCATCATTAGTAGTTAAATAAAAAAAAATGATATTTGATCAGTGCATTGAAAGAAGTATTATTTAGAAGTCAGTTCTACTCTAAAAAGTGACTACATAAAAATGGTAAACCACTTGAGTGCTGATAGTCCTCCAATGCCTCTCTCCTCAACACTGACCCCTCACTTATTACTTCAACTTATGCCCTCCCCTTCAAAAATACCCTCACTTTCCCCAGACAACATAGCAATCCTTGGAAAAAAACAAGAACAAAACTTACCTTGAATTGGATGAGATCTTCTTCATCTATATACACTGCCATCTCCTTCCAGCTGAAGGAAGCCCTCTTACGGTACTCACAAAGTGGCCCCTCAGGGAAATCTGGTAGCAACATGTCCCAAGAACTTTGGTGGCAAGTGGCTTCTTTCAGATCACTAGTCGATGCCATCTTGAATTTAAACACTTCTGCATCCAACAAGAACATATCTCCAATGAACTAAAACACTGAAAATGTCTATTTTTTCCCCACAAGTACTTTTATCAGTGGATAAAAAAGGGAATTAAAGAGTGTGTCAGTATGTACCTCATCCTTTGAGGCCCCAGGGCCCTACTACACCCTGCCACAAAAGAAGAGCAGCAAAGGTGGGTCTCAGGTCTTCTTAGAGAGGCCTCATTCGAAGCAGCCAATCAGACCCCAGTAGGCTCTGTTAAAAGGAGCTGCAGGGGCTTAGCAGCTCAATTCCTGGCTAGGGCCAGAGGGACATGGAAGGGTACTCTGCCCTAGCCAAAGGGAGCTGGACAGGCTGCATTAGCTAAATCTGTGAGCAAGAGGAGCTGAGAGCTGTAGCCCTAAAGTAATAGGCAGAGGTAAAAAGGCTTGGTTCAGGAGCAACCAAGTAAACGAAGCAGCACATTGCTCCTATTTATAGGGTCTCTGGGTTGGGGCCTGGCATAGTGGGTGGGCCCAAGTACCCCCATCAGCTAAAGGGGAAATGGCCCAAGCCCTGAGAAGGGGATAAGGCTTATTTAGAAGGCCAAACAAAGGGCTGGAAGTTAAGGGCTCAGGGACAGGGCTAGGGCTGAAAGACTCTGTTTGGTGGACTCTTGGTTACTGCACCCCTCTTCCCCCCCTCAAAATCCCCCAAAAACAGAAACCCCAAACCTTGAGATGACCTGTCTGGAGAGTTGATGCAGAGATAACTGGTGAAGACAAAGAGGCTCCAGGGAGACAACCCTGGGGGCGGTGCTCTCTAACAGGGCAGGGAAGGACTTACAGTTAGCCCAGAAGGGTCTGAGAACGGAGCCCAGAAAGGGAGCTGAAGACACAACAAGGGTGCAGCAATAGTTCTTGTTGGGCCTTTGTTACCCCGGAAGGGGTTCATTCATGCCTACTGACTGTGTTTGACTTGACTGGAGGGCTGAGCCACTGAAGATCTACCTAGTGAGGTTGGCTGCCCACAGGGGTGCCTGGAGAAAAAGAAGATGGCGGCCCCACACCCAGCTCACAGAAGTAACTTCTGAGAGGTGAGTGCATCCCATCACAAAATTCTTCATTAAATCCATACATAATCATTCAGAAGGGACAGGGACTACAGACTCAACTGTTAAGACTGGCCTTCTCTTTTTCTAACTTAACTGATTTAGTACAAGTTAAATAACTGTTTTTGATCAGATACAAATGGCTTATACACTCTTATTAAAATGTGAACTGAGCAATGTGAAAAAAATATAATTTATGCATATTAATAAAACTAGATAAAAGGAAGATTTAGATAAAAGGAGCAGCAGAAGAAAGTGCTGTGATTTAAACATCAGTAAAAAGATTAGCTCGCTCCCAAATGAAACACTGTAATAAAATATCAAAGCATCTCCACACATGCAAAAAAAAACAAAGCGTAAAATGCAGGAGATGAAAGCATTTCTTTTCTTCCCTGACTTGCCAGTTAATGTTCAAACGAACTATTCCAAAGGGCATTTGTCAGTCAGCACTTTATAACCAAACATTTTATTCTCGCCGTATCACCAAAGTGACCAATGAGTGCCAGGAAGCCAAGGATCACACTGAAGCCAAACTAGACAGAAGTGATGTTGGCAGGGAGACAGAACTTTGGGGAACTGGCAGGAGCTCTGACCTCCCCTTCCATTGAGGTCATCTGCCCTTGTGTTATCCCGTACACCTATGTAAAATGCATGTAAAAATGACTGTAAAATACTACCAAATCAGCATGGTATCACTCTGCAGTACACAGGTATAAATGAGAAGGGCAGAATCACTACCCGGCCCTTTGCATCCACAGGCTATTTAGGGTATGTCTTCACTGCAGAGTTAACTCATGCTCTTACTTGGGTGTTGCTTCTATGGCCCTTCCCATCCACACACATAAGCCCTCATGCAATCCAGACTAGCTGAGTAAAACTTTCACTCCGGGTAGTAACCCACCCACTTTGCAGTGAGACCTCAAGCTAAACCACTTGAGTGCTGATAGTCCTCCAATGCCTTCCCCCCACAATGCAATGTGAAAGTCATAGAGCGTCTCCTCTTACTGCATCACAAAGAACCATGGGAGATGCCCCTAGATATCCTACCAACACATGCTGGGGGGGGGGGGGGCACAGTAACTTGGATAGGGCTTTGCAGTGTGGATGTTCACATTGAAGGCAGGCTAACCTGGGTGCTGATCACCCAAGCTAACTCTGCAGTGAAGACATATCTTCAGTAAAAAACAAAAAAACAAAACAAAAAAAAACCAAAAAACAAAACAACAACAACAACAAAAAAACATCTGCAACCATTGTATCAAGACACAGTTGCATTGAGAATAGACTAGATTAAGCCCCCCGTGAAAGGGATACCCTCGTGACAGCAGGGACAGCCACTGCATTCTAAACTTGTATTTTCAGCCACTTAAAACTTTCCCCAAAATACTGACTTTTTAGGCTGCAATGACTTAGAAGCCTAACTCCTTTTTGTAATTTCTGAAGACCTCTCCCCACCCAAGGACTAAAATTGATGTGTTCTAACATTGCCCTGGATCCAGCAAACTGTGGGTAGAAGTCTCAATAAATACCTACAAATACAAATTGTTCATCTCACAGGATCCAGACAGCTATGTTAAAATGTTACCTTCTCATCTAAATCATTGCTTTCACTATTTCCATGAAAAACACTTCTTTTCTACCTGCTTGTAACTTTTCTCAAATATTTTCCTTTAGGCTGAAATACAGAATCATAGATTATTAGGGTTGGGAGGGACCTTAGGAGGTTCATCTAGTCCAACCCCCTGCTCAAAGCAGGACCAATTTTTGCCCCAGATCCCTAAATGGCCCCCTCAGGGATTGAACTCAGAACCCTGGATTTAGCAGGCCAATGCTCAAACCACTGAGCTATCCCTTCCTCCCGACATCACATGCATTAAACAAGTGACTTGGAAGGGGGGAAGCCAGGAAAGCTCCCCTATTCTCCTCTCTAAATTATCTAGTTCCTGGTTCTTGTTACACACTGAAAAACTTCCTAGACAAAGAATGTACCTCTTCCCCTGCACGCTTCTTTTGTTGTTGTTGTTTATATTACCATTTTCTAGGTAGATTACAATGTACTAATGTGTTCAGACTGGCAGTGTAACCTTTGGCTGAGCACAGAGGTTTTGTTACCATGTCTTTCATTTGACAGACTAATATATGTATTCATGTTACTTTAATTGATGCACCTAGATGTGGAGGCAACAGGTGGCGTTGTAAATCCTTAAATAAACAAATAGCTCTCTCCATGGTTTTCAGGTCTTTACTGACTTCTGCTCCCCAGCGAGGAATTTCACAAATAAATCGCTCCAAAGGTGTTCATATTATTATCATTTTGTAAGCAAACATGGAATTCACCCTCCCTCTGACCTTACGCTATGCTCATAGTCCACATATAAATTACTCATCGGAGACACTTAATGACAAAATACAGGGTCTAGAATTCAAACTCAGCTTTTGTTTAAAAGTGCACTGTCTAGTCAATGAGAGTTTGTTTTAAAAGGAATAACATTTATACTGCGGCATTTGGAACCCCTCCCAAATATTGCAGAATCCTGCTGATAGAGGTCTCCATCCTGCAGCTGGATCTGTACAGGCAGAAATCTGTGCCTGTGCGGAGTACCACTGAATTTAACAGGACTCCATGGGGGTGTGAAGATTTAGTTGCAGGATCAGGGCCATATAGCTCAATTATGCCCTACAGAGATACCATGGGGTGCACTGGAGAATCTCTGGAAGCATGCACAGAGTGCCTCCGCTGTTACACCTTTCCACAGGGTGCAGGACACACTCTCCCTGCAACCTGCCAGCTGCATCTTATTCTCCACCCCTTTTGAAATAGCTTGTGCCTCTAGACCTACACAGTCCTGCTGCTGCAATTGTACCCAGTAGGGGGAACATGGGAGCAAAGGAAGGAAGTGTCATGGTCCAGATTCACTCAAATATTTAGGTACCACTGCGATCCACAAAATTAATCCTGCTTATCTTCCACCTAAACTGTAAGTGCCTAAACAAGTGCCTAAGGGACCTATAGTGTAGACAAAGCCTTATACAGCAAAAATGGAGGCCCTAAGTTTCTGCCCCAGAGAGGCAGCTGGACGTCTCTCATGCCTAAGCCCCAGCATGATTCTCAAACCAAGTGAAAATAGGTGTTGCCTGGCCTACCTTGCCTGCGGGGCCTTATCCAATAGGCATCCTTTGAGCATGCCTAACTGCACACACAATGGTTGGGGGGAGGGAAGGAGGCCACCTTCCTTACTAACTTTAGTCCAGTTATTCGGGTAGTCCCCTAGGATGCGGGAGATCCCAGTTCAGTTCCTCCTCTCCCTAATGAGAAGGGATTTGAACGGGGTTCCCCTGCTCTCAGATAAGAGCCCCTGCAGGGTCTGATCCATTGCTTGGTGATGCAATACCTATGTCTCTGCTGATTTAGGCCCAAGTGCTCTTTCATCCCATTGTACACCCACACAGAGAGGGGGCAGATCCTCAGCTGGTGTAGACTATCATAGCTCCATTGAAGGGAACAGAGCTAATAATTACCAGCTGAGGATCTGCTTCAGGGACTCGACATAATCAGATTTATATGAATTTGAATCCTTTTGGTTTGTGAGATAACGCTACCCTGATCTCTACTCAGAGACCCATGGCCAACTCGTTTATTAACTTGATCTTGGATTAACTCCTTTTGAGTTAACATAAAGCAATCTTGAATTACTGTTACAATGTAAAGAAAAGGAGGACTTGTGGCACCTTAGAGACTAACAAATTTATTTGAGCATAAGCTTTCGTGAGCTACAGCTCACCTCATCGGATGCATTCCTGTAGCTCACGAAAGCTTATGGTCAAATAAATTTGTTAGTCTCTAAGGTGCCACAAGTCCTCCTTTTCTTTTTGCAGATACAGACTAACATGGCTACTACTCTGAAACCTGTTACAATGAAAGTTTGAGTTAATCAAACTGCTGTTAGGTAAACTGTTTAAAAACAAAAGTTACCACCGGGGCCCACCCCCCTCAAACACACATCAATTTTGGTCTTTGTTCCCCATCTTATGATCTCACCTTCTCTCCTCATCCACCAGCCTACAGGCTGCTGAGGATCTTGTTCTTGCAATCAGCTCTTTTATATTGTGTTTCAAACCTGAACAGTGAGGGAGGACCCTCCCAATGTAATCCCAGATATGAGTAGAAGGAGGGGGGAATTCAAGCCATGCTGATTGAGGGGAAGAGATAGATGGGAAAGGCATAAAAATCAGCTTGCAGTGAGCCATAAAAATGCCAGAAATTAATCTGCATGCAAAAATGGGCAGAACCTACTGGGTGAAAATCTGAAAAGCCTGAGTTCCACTAAAATCAGGCCCATGGAGTGCCCACTTGGTGGTGTAGACAGAGGAAGTTCTCTGCTACCTCCTACTGCAACCTACTCACAGCTTACCAGAAGGTTGCATACTTGTTCATGTGGGCTGACATCCTGTGTTATCATGCGGCTGGAGGTGGGGGACTGGTTGGAGTGGAGCGTGGGACCCAGCTGGGAGGGAAGGAGGCAAGGGGGCTGGCTGAGTGTATACCCTGGCCTACGTAAACGACGAAGGAGCAAGTGACCCTTTAGTTTACCAATAATGGTTTCACTCTTCTCCTTTCCCACTTCTCTCTCTTCTCTATTTTTAACCCCTTAGCATCTCTTTCCCCACAACCTGATCCTCTTAGAATGATGCCACAGCACAGCTTCACAGTTGTGGGTGATAATGTTTTGGAAGAGGAGTGGGCGGTAGAATTTCTGGGTGCCATCCTTCAGACACACAGGAGAGTTAGCAGCCTGGCACTGGTGCAGTGAAGATGCTGAGGAGCTGGCTTTAGAAGAGAAACAGAAAGTAACAGGCAATGGAAAAGAACTTGAGCTGAAGCAGAAAAATAAACAAACTATTTTTCTGACACTCAGGCAATAAAAAAAAGGGCAAGTCCATGGGGTGGTGAACTGGGCAGAAAGTCAGAGCCTCAAACCAAAGGATACAGGTTAGACTGATCTGAAGCAAGGAGGAAAACAAGATCAGAATCCTGCAATGAATGATGCAAGTGTGTAACTTCTTGACATGGTAGTTCCATGGAGCTCAATGAGATGATGCATTTGAGTAAATTAATGCTCATATGTAAGCATTTGGAGAACTCGGGCCTTTTGTGTTTTTTAAAAATTCCATGACTTTCTTTACATCTTGGGATTTGTGTGTGGATGTGACTGTAAACAACTGGACCTGTTTCACGGAAAGCTGCCAAGTTAAAAATGGGGCACACAGGGGAACTCTTTTTAGTAGTGAAAATTCATAATTGTGTAATAATAGCTGCCGATAAATCAGTACAGAACCATTTGCAATATACTGCTGAGAAATAACAAGGCACAAATAATGCAGCCCAGACACTCGTGAGCGATCGGCGTTCAGGGAATGGCATAAAGTGAAAGAACTGTCACTTATCAATACCACCACAGCAGCCCGACATGCTCCTTGGGAAAGGCCCCTGCAGTATAATGCACAACCATCAGCGTGAAATAATTAAAAACGCGGTACAGAAATGACCCTCTGCTGTCCAGCCAGCCAGAAACGCAACAACAAAGAGGGAAGAGTAAACTACACACTGAACAACCTGTCAAGGTTTTATTAGAGAACCCTTTATATATATGGATTACAACCCACGAGGGACCCTTTCAGCGGGGAATGACTATCACACTTCACCGCCCCACGGCCACCACCTGGCCTATCTCCCTCCCCGGCTGTGGGTGAGGAGAAGGGTCCCGTGAATGGGACCCTGGGAAGCGAGGGAATCAGACACTGGCACCGGAGGGCTGGCACAGAGGAGAGCTCGCCATGGCCCTATGCGCGGATCAGCTGCTTCTGCTGTTGCCTTTGGCTTCTCCCCTTCGCTGCCAGGCTGGCTCTGGGGTGAACCCCCCCAGGACGCCGCCACCGGGAAGGGGGCAGCCAACGGGACCGCCACCGGGGCGGAGAGTCCGTCACTCACTCACTTACCTGCCGCGGCCGCCGCCCCAGCCTGCCTCGCCGCAGGAACTGACGGAACAAGCCTGCGCCTCGCCCGCCTCCGCCCCGCCGCCGGTGACACGCTCGCTCCGCGACGCCGGCCGGGCTGGGGCCGGGGCCGGCGGCCGGGGCACATGGGGCTGCTGGCCGGGGCGATCGCGCTGCGGGACAGCGCCGCGCTGCTGCCCCGGGGCTTCTGGGCCGCCGTCAGCGTCTGGCTGGAGAAACCCCAGGTGGTGAACAAGAGACTGAGCGGCTCCCGCATCGAGGCGGAGAGGAGAGTCCCCGCCCCGGCGGTGGCTGGGCGCAGGGCCGGGCCGGGCGGGGGGACGGGGGCAGCGGAGAGGAGGGGGGTGACTGGGGATGGGGGGAAGGGGACAGGGGATGGGAGTGGGGGGAGGGGGATGACTGGGGATGGGGGGAGGGGGGGGCAGAGGAGGGGAGGGGGTGACTGGGGATGGGGGGAAGGGGCCCGGGGCAGAGGAGGGGAGGGGGTGACTGGGGATGGGGGGAAGGGGACAGGGGATGGGAGTGGGGGGAGGGGGGTGACTGGGGATGGGGGGAAGGGGGCCGGGGTACTGGAGGGGAGGGGATGACTGGAGATGGGGGGAAGGGGCGGGGTACAGGAGGGGAGGGGGATGACTAGGGATGGGGGGAAGGGGACAGGGGATGGGAGTGGGGGGAGGGGGATGACTGGGGATGCTGGGAAGGGGACAAAGGCAGAGGATGGGAGGGGAATAACTGGGGACTGGGGGCAAGGGAGGGAAGAGGAGAGGCAAGTGACTGCTGGGGATGGGGCTGTCCCTCCTCACACAATGCTGGAAGCTCTCTGGAGTGATTTCTCTAGCATGATTGCTCAGGAGGATTGGGAAATGCCAGCCTTCATTAAAGAACTTGGGAAAGAGAATCAGCCTGAGACAGATGCTCTCGGCCTCGATGTGGTCCTCAGAACTCTGTTCCCTAAAAGTCACCTTCACCATTGTTCCACTGCACCAAGAAAAGAAATGGTCATAAAAGGTAATTTAACAAAGGGGATGAATGACAACACAGAGCCAGAGTTGTGGAAACTAGCTGGGGCTTTCATATGTGCAAATTTCAGCTGCCTCCTGGACCCATAGCAAGAGGGGATCATAGAATCATAGAAGACTGGGTTGGAAGAGACCTCAGGAGGTCATCCAGTCCCTTGCTCAAACCAGGACCAACACCAACTAAATCATCCCAGCCAGGGCTTTGAAGCTGGGCCTCAAAAACCTCTAAGGAAGGAGATTCCACCACCTCCCTAGGTAACCCATTCTAGTGCTTCACCACCCTCCTAGTGAAATATCCAACTATCCAACAATACTATCCAACCTAGACCTCCCCCACTGCAACTTGAGACCATTGCTTCTTGTGCTGTCATCTGCCACCACTGAGAACAGCCTAGCTCCATCCTCTTTGGAACCCCAAAGCAAAGGATGATAGCAATGGAATTAAGTCACCCTGGAAATTCCTGTGATGGTATCAAGGTCAACAGTGTCAGGTGAAAGGTAGTGAAAGGTATTTCCCACAGGTGCTAGCAGAGTGTGTCTGACTGTTTTGTCTTTACACATATTAGTAAAATACTTCAGACACTACCTTTTTGCGGGGAGGGCAGTAGGAGAATTTGACTTTGAAATGTGAACATCAACCTTTTAGATAAATGGGCTGAGGGGTTGTCTAGTTTCATTGCAATGACACTGTTTTTCCTCTCCAATGCACCTTCCCAATCTTAATTATCTTTCTTCATAATCTCACATTTCTTATGGGAGTGGATAAAGTAGTACCTACAATAAGAATACCTCCGATATCTTCCATTGAAATACTATTTTCAAAATACTGACCATCAATAGGCCTCTGTGAATCAAACGAACACATCCTTCAACCTACAGAAGTATAGTAAAGCACTATGTAAATGCTAAAGATGGGATTTTCAAAAACACTTAACAGAGGCAGGCACCCAATTCACATGGAAAGTCAACAGGAGATTTTGAAAATTCCACCCTAAATATTTATTATTGAATTTGGTATGTCTGTTACCCTGATATTGGATCCAAGTGCACTTTTAAAGGACACTGACAGCCTCAAACTAGAATCCAGCCTTTAAAATACCATATTTTTTCAGCTCCTCTTCTAATCTTGAAAAACCTATTACCACCCAAAATGAAGCACTGAGAAAATTCCAGCTTCTACTAGATTTCTTCACAGCCTCATGCTTTATACTATTGCTAAATTTAGCCTGTCTGTTCCATTCTTGTGAACAAGGAGGATATTGAAAGAATGCTTGTCTATTTTAAGAAGAAAGTAGAAGTATGGTGGGGGGACTGGTTGGAGCTCCTACAGAAACAGGCCAAACAAAAACACAGCTGGCAGTGTAGGTGTAATGGTAGATTTACAAAGCTTGACAATAGCCTTTGAAAGTATAGAACTAAAAAAGGACATCTGCAGCTGTAGAACCTGACGTGGCTTGTAAGATTTTTCAAAGCAACTGGGGTCTCTCTGTCTCTTTCAAACTATCTTTTGCTTAATAATCCTGGTATTTAGGGTTGCCAATCCACCAGGATTGGCCAGGAGTCTCCAGGAATTAAAGATGAATCTTTAAAGGATGTCATATGATGAAATCTCCAGAAATACGTCCAACCAAAATTGGCAATCCTGCCTGGCATGGAATTTTAAGCTTTCCTGAACAGACACATATAGTAATGTGTTCTATGTACAGACCATCTTACTTTTTATGACCCTGATCCTGCAGTGTATCCATTCAGAGTGGATCTTTACACCTGTGTGTAATCCCATTGAAGAAATACGCAGGGTGTGGATTGAATTCTGATACTGGTCCTTGGAAAGGAACCTAAATCCAAAAGCGAGTAAAGTAACTGATCTAAGACACCAACACTGATAGCTGCCTTGAAATACTCAAATGTCTTGGAATTCTTACTCAGTACCTTTTCTGAAACCATTTACCGTGTGTATTGTACTTCTGAATAATTTTTTGAGGATGGAAAGAAAAATCACTTATCTCATGTTTTTATTAGTCAACAGCCCTGTGTCTGGTTGTTTTAAAACTTTCCCAGGGGATTCCATCCATACGGAATAGCTTGGTAGACATGTTACAAAAAAAGAAAAGAAAATGATTTCGGAACATTCAGTTTAGAATGGGTTTATATAGTCTCACATCAGATAGGGGACTGGGTAAAGATGGATTTTGTTTATTAAGGTCATGCTTACCAAATCCAGTGCTGTACAAAAGTGCAGTGCTATCTAAATGTGTCCATACTAGTCATATCCTTTTCCTGATCCTCCATTCCTTGCTCACACAGAACTGCTGTTGAGATCAGTAGGAATTTTGATGGTCTAAGGAATGTAAGCGTAGGCCCTGACTTCCTATTTGGTGCCCTGTGACTATGTTGTTGTGTTGGAATGTATGTTTTGATGAAAATAAATAGAAAAGGACAAACAAATACTGACTTATTTTGTATTGCTGCCAACTGAAGGGTGTTGGAGAAATTCAACAGCAAAATATTTGCTAGAGGATACTTTTGTGGTTACCTTTATAAATTAATAATGCCAATGTAGACCAATAACAGCAGTGATAATTCTTTTATAGCAATGCCATATGGAACATATTAAGCAATTTAGGGTTATTTTATAGGAGGCTATATGGATATATTGAAGATGTGGGAGGTAAAATCAATAGCATGTGAGGACTAGTTTATGTCATGCTATTTATGGTTTGTGGCCCTCCTCTTTGTTTTTCCTTGATAGGAAGTTTAAATGAAATACTGTTTAAAGTTATGTAGGAGTTAACCTTGGTATGCACACAATTCATGTTAGAAAATGAGACTTGATAGCTAGATGGTGCAGGCATTTCAGGGCCTGATCCTTAGCTGGTGTAAGTCAACATAGGGAGGAGGGACAGCTCAGTGGTTTGAGCATTGACTGCGGGGGAGGCAAGGCTCAGTGGTTTGAGCATTGGCCTGCTAAACCCAGGGTTGTGAGTTCAATCCTTGAGGGGGCCATTTACGGATCTGGGGCAGAAATTGGGGATTGGTCCTGCTTGGAGCAGGGGGTTGGACTAGATGACCTCCTGAGGTCCCTTCCAACCCTGATATTCTATGATTCTAACATAGCTCCATTGACTCTGTTTTGGGACCGTGTTCTACCTGACATCATTTGAAGATTATAAATGTCATTGGACCAGTAAGATGGTGGTTGGGTTTTACTCAGTTTCCTTTTGTTTTAGAAAATAACACTAAGGAACTTGCTTTCTGCTATGCGAAGTCATCCAGAAGTATCATCTGGCTATTTGTGTGCTGTCTGCTTGTACCTAGAAGGTTGTGTTAAGAGCAAGGAGTGAGGTTTAAGAACACTAGGACATACCATTTGATGACAAAAAAGGGAAGTTAATTAAAGCCAGCCTTGTACAGTATATGTTAACAAGATTTCAATCAACAGCCAGATTATTTGACATCTCCCATCCTTGCATTAACAAGGAAAAATGGTGTGTGAAAGTTTTGTCCACCCTTGCCCACAAAAAGTACAGTTTGGGAGCTGTGTGGTTATGCTTCCTCAGTGCTATGTGTGTAATTAAGTGCCCAAGTGCTGCATTGTGCCTTTCAAACCTTTTTTTTTTTTTTTTTTTTTTTTTTGGACACTGAGCTGAGTATTTATCTATCCTAAGTACATCTGCTGCTGATGATTCATTTTACTGGTGAGGTTTTTGACTGCCTACCTTGCAAAGAATCTCAAAGATCGTTGTTTGCAATTCAACACAAGAAGGCAGTTGTGATTGCTACAGATGCAGAATACAGCAGCCCACTTCCTTCGTCAGAAGGAAGTTATCTTCTGAGAGAAAGAAGAAATGCTAACTTACCAAAAACCAAACAAGGCTCCTGTACCTGAAATGTATGACAGATGCTGTTGGGGTTGGTATTTGAGGGGCAGATGGGAATATCTGGCTTTTACATTAATGTTTTATCATCACAAACAACAAACCAGTTATATATAAAATTGTATGTGATATCTATCCTTCCCCCTCCATTTATATGCCACTTGTCTTCTTAGACCCATATCCTTCAGACACTTGGCACATGCATAAGTTTGCTCATGTTCTCAGTAAGAGTATTGGAGCTAATAGGACTGGTCAGATGTGTCAGTATTTGTAAGATCAGGGCATTAGGTCAGAGGCTAAAAAGTAGATGGAAATGAGAGGAGAGAGCTCTCACTCCACTAGCCGAGAGGGAGTGGTCGTGTAGGGGAGCATTGCTCGCTGAAGTTGTGGAGAAGAGAGAGTGCTCTTCTCTGATTTTTGGTCCCTCGCTCTTACTTTAACCCTTGCCTTGCTCCACAGTCCTGAAAACACAACTTCAGCTGAAACCGTGCACTAGGCCAGCTCGGAGCTCCAACGGGTTCCCTTTGGGGCAGGGCCTTGTCTTTATGTGGGGGATCTGGATATTACTACAGTTGAAATATAATAGTAGTATTTTTTCCAGTTTTGAACAGGTTAGTTCACAAAATGGTTGATAGGTATCTTCCTGCTCTTTTGCATTACAACAGCTATGTACCACCCTTGGTAGTTGTATCTCCCTTAATTTGGAATTTACTTTCCAGGCTTCCAATTTTAAAGAGACAGTGAATTGCAATGTTATGGTGGTAAATGACTTTCAGTAATAGATATCTGGCCACATATTGATTATACCACATGGTCCCTTAGAAGTCAACTAACATGTTTTCGAGTTAAGCACACATGCAAGTCTCTGCAGGGTCAGGGCCTTAGAAATGCTGCAAAACTGCAAACTGTATAAAGAATCAACAGTTTTAGATGGCAGAGCTGTTTCTTATACTACACCTCTCCTGAGCATTAGGTTCCTTTCTCTGCATCTAAATACAGCTTGCTTCACTAAGTTGTGCTCTGGTATAAGCAGCAAAATATTAGCTTCTTATTTTGCGTGGCTTAGAATTACCCACGTTTCTACACAACATAATATTTTGAGCCAGTAATATTCCACAGTTTACAAAACTTTTCAGATACCTTTAATGGGACTGTGACCTTTCTACCATTGGAGGAAAATGATGAAGGAAAATATCAGGTTAAGAAGTGCAACATTTATCAAATTCGACTTACACACGCTAAAGATGATGAATGGTGAGTGCTGGGGAGAGAAAGGGTAAGCAAACCTCTGCATTGGCGTAAGATGACACCCTCCTCTTCTATAATGTGTCTGGATGGCTTGATTTGTGTGATAGAGTCCCCTGCTCCTTATTTAAGCTATGATCGTCCTATGGCAGTATGTGCACATCTGCATCCATTCACTTGATCTAAAATTGTTAGCTCACTGTTCTCAGAGACCCGAACTGAGTGCATCATCTTAGGGTATGCCTATACTACCCGCTGGATCGGCAGGCAGCGATCGATCCAGCGGGGGTCGATTTATCGCATCTAGTCTAGGTGCGATAAATCGACCCCCGAGCGCTCACCTGTCGACTCCTGTACTCCACCGGAGCGAGAGGCGCAGGTGGAGTCGACGCAGTGAGTAGATCTAAGTACGTCGACTTCAGCTACGTTATTCACGTAGCTGAAGTTAGGTAACTTAGATCGATTTCCACCCACCCCCAGTTTAGACCAGGCCTTAGTTAGGGCTTGATCCTGCTCCTTTGAAGGCAATGGGAATTTCACACTGACTTTAATGGGGGAAAGATCGACCCCTCAGATCCTTATTGAATGAATCATTCTGTGGATCACAGTCTCATCTTGCCGTAATAGAAAAGTAACCTTTTCATTTAATCAATTCTGCTTTCTTTTTATAATTGCTAGATGACAGTACTGAAGTGGAATTAGCTAGATATTAAATGTTTCTTGGTTAATTGAAAAATCCCAAATTTTCAGGCCAAAACACTAAGCCTGTTCCAGTTTTGCATGGATAGGATTATGAATTGTGCCATCTGACTTCCTTAAAAATGTTTATAATTTGGTCACAGTCACTTCTGAAGCCTACTCAGAGTAAAGTTAAGCACTTGTGTGTTTGCAGTATCAGGGTCAAAGTTGGAGATTTCTCCAAGTTGGGACATGCTACTTTAAAATCATGAAAATTAGACTTGGGGAATGCCTGACTGATCACCCAAAGCACAGTCCTGCAAGGTACTGAGCACTCTAGTTCTGATCCCACAAAGCACTTAAACACACACTTAGCATTTAAGTGTGTGAGTAGTCCCGTTGACTACTCACATGTTTAAGTGCTTTGCTGGATCAGGGCCAGAGAGCTGAGCCATTGTGCAGTGTCAAGTTCCTAGTCTACACCTCGGCCAGTGCTGCAGTGTATACCCATGTGTAATGTCTGGTTTAGCTTTAAATGCCTTAAACAATGGGAATTCTACCACATATTCTGGGAGACTCTTCTACTGCCTGACAGAATTCATTGCTGAGATGTTTTTTCTTTTACTCACTCTGTTTTCTGTTATTTTCATGTATTACCTAGTTGTTTCTTATTCTGTCCCTTGCACCTCCCTGAATATCTCATTTTCCTCTTGGATCTTTATACCCTTCACATAGTTGTGTAATGTTATCAAATCTCCTGCATAGGCCCCAACCCGGTTAACAGTTATATGATTAACATGATGCACATGAATACTCCTGTTGAAGACAATGGGGCAACTGAAGGGAGCAAAGTTATGTGTGTACTTAAGTGTTTGCAGGATTGGCGTCCTAGTCTCCAGATAGCCAAGCTATAAATATCAATTCTTCTGATCTTTCCTGGTATGTCAGTTCCTTTCTTCAATGCACAGAGTGGGATTTTCAAAAGCACTCATCATTGGGAGCCATTAACTACAATGGGAGCAGTTAGGCCAATGCTGAGTGCTTTTGAAAATCCGGCCTTATGATGTATGCAAAAGATAAAAGTAATAAAGCTTGTGTTTAGTGGCTTCTGCTGTTTTTTTCTCTTGACCGAGCCTTTCGTTCAATCATTGACATACACTGTATTTATTCAGATTTCTTATATTTTTAAAGGTCTGTATCTGTTTTAACTTCATCTCCAGAAAACTGGGTCGCAGATGGAATTGTATACCCCAAAACAACGTGGCTTGGAAGTGAACTATTGTCCAAACTGGCCAAATGGTCCACAGAGAAAAAGCAGAGTGAGTTTAAAAGTACACTCTCGCTCATTTCTGTGGCTAAATACAGCAGGGTTTATCAAGAGCTAAAAGAAAAATACAAAGAAATGGTAAAGGTAAGTGTGGCAATAAAATCTAGAGTCCCATTCTCTCATAGTGTTTTCTGCTTCCTAGTGAGACTGGGGTCTTAGTTAAAAAAGAAGAAATCTATTTGAAAATCATTAAATTAAAATTTGTTCTTGATTTTAAAGTTCCCTGTGTATGTGAAGAGAGTTCAGCGTTATTACATAGTGTTGGTGGTAGTTATGAGTCAAATTGAAATCTGCATTATTAATTCGTAACTGGGAGAAAATGAAGAGCAAGATCGCATCTGAGGTGCAGAGCCTTGGTGTGCTGCCGATAATATTTTCAAAAGCATCTGAGTGACTTAGGAGCCTACGTCCCATTTTTCAAAAGTGACTTATGCACTTAGGAGCCTAAATCTCACTGAAAGCCATTGTTGCTTTAGGTGTTTAAATACCTCTAACAGCCTGGCTCTAAGTGACTTGGGAAAATGGGACTTAAGATCTTAAGTGACTTTGGCACTTTTAAAAATTTTACCCTCAGTGGCTTGCTTTAGGCCTCTGCTGCCGATATTTTACCATCAGGTTTCCTAAAAATTTCCACCCTAGGCTTTGATAAATCCTGTGTGCATTCACATGTGTGGGAATGTTTGCTTGCCAAGCATTTGCTCTTCAAGAATTATTTTTTGAGCTCCAGGGATCCTTCATCTCTATTGAGGGTGAATTCCCCCCAAGCCAGGGAAACCATCTCAACTGTCCCTTCAATCTGGGGGTGGCATTTTAACAAGACTTTCCTTTCTGTGTCAGCCTATTGCTGTGGTTGGTGCATAGTATATATGTAGCTGCCCACTTCATGCTCCTTTCAAGGGAGTCACTGCCTTCAGCCGGCCCAACAATGCTAGGTAGGCTTGGCATTGTGTACTGCCATCTCAATATCCTAGACCACCGGTTCCTCGCTGGTTCCCTTGAAGTCAGTGTGGTGAGAATTAACAGGGGCTTGAAACACACTGTCCCTGGCTGACAGCTCTGAAATGGACCTCTGATTGGGACCAGTTGGGTCAGAGAGATTCTCCTATGGCATTTGTGTACGAGAGGAGAGCTTTAGCACCCCATTTCCCATCCAGTTCCCTCGAATGATATGTTTTGTTCTATCCCAAATCCTTTGCTTCCAGTGCTTTTCTCTTCCTTCCCTGGTTCTGCACAGGTGTTAGTCCAGCTCTAGAAAACAGGATACAGGTACAGTAGGGCTGTGATTCACCTTACTTCCTGGCTCCCCAAGTAGCTCTCCTTTGGTGAGTGACAGGGCAGACCTAGTTCCCTCTTCTCACTCACTTAGGGCCTGATCCAAAGCCCATTGAAGTCAATGGGAGTCTTTCCATTGACTTCAGTAGACTTTTAATCAGGCTTTAGGCACCGGAGTCTGATTCTGTGAGGTGCAGAGTGCCCTCTATTCCCACTGAAGTTAAATGACTTCACCCAGAACTTTGAAAGATTAAGCTATGAGTCAGTCATCCCAAGGATCAGTCAGCCCAGTACACAACCAGTGGATGCGGTCTTCTGGGCTGTGTCAGCTCCATGAACTGTGGCCAGGATTGGTCACTACGCTGCCAAAGATTCAACAAATCCTTTTATGAACAAGTGGTGTAAAAATGTTACAGGGATATTATCTTCCCCATGGGAGAAATATCAGTATAAATAAGAGGGGGCTGGTCTTGTGGCCAAGACCTCTGACTCATGAGATCTGGCTTTAGTTCACGGCTTTGCAATAAGCAAATCACTTAGTCTTTCTGTGCCTCAGTTCCCCATCAGTAAAGAGGGTATAATGCTTATTTTCTCCTCCCCTTTGTCTGTCTTTTTTATTTAGATTGTAAGCTCAAGATTCCATTATACTAAGTTCATTTCCTGCTGTGACCTATAGGCACCTAAGTTCCCTCTAAGGTGCGTGGCCGTGCAGCAGGCTATCAAGGGCCATGCAGATAGGGAGAGGCACCTCTCCCCTGGCTGCTGTGGTGAGACAGGGCTGGGGGAGTCCTTTCTCTCCCCACCACAGCGCCGGCAGCCTGCACCCAAACCCCTCATTCTGGCCCCACCCCAGAGCCCACACCTCCAGCCAGAGCTCTCACACTCCCGTACCCCAATGCTGTGGCGCAGCCCTAAGCCCCCTCCTGCATCCTGAACCCCTCATCCCCAACCCCACCCCAGAGCCTGTGCCCCCAGCCAGAACTCTCATCCCACCACACCCCAACCCTCTTCCCTAGCCCTGAGCCCCCCTCCTGCACCCCAGACCCTTCATCTCCAGCCCCACTGCCAGAGCCCACATTCCCCCGCACCCCAACCCTCTACCCTAGCCCTGAGCTCCCTCCCACATTCCGAACCCCTCGGCCCCACCCCCGCCACACATCACTTCCATATTGGTGCACGTAACAGCATTAATTCCGCACATGGATGTAAAAAATTAGAGGGAACATTGATAGGCACTGCTGTAATACAAATAATAATCTTTCCTGTGGCAGACGTAACCATACCAATGGAGGTGAATTTTCCTGAGTCACATAATAAGCACCTGCAATGTACTAGAGAACATGTGGTGGGCTTTGTTCCATGTGATTTGCACATCTGGAACCATAACTGGTCCTGAAACTTAGCTTGACTGAATGACTGCAGATGTTCTCTATCCTAGTGTGTGTACACAAGTTAGTTTATTGTGTGACTCACAAAAATTTACGCAGTCTTTCATATTCCTTATCATGGGGCAAGATTTTTTTTTAATTAATTGGAAGGTTAGAATTCCATAATGTTCAGTGATAGGTTAAAGATGGGGTGACTATCATAGACTATCAGAGTTGGAAGGGACCTCAGAAGATCATCTAGTCCAACCCCCTGCTCAAAGTAGGCACAATCCCCAATTTTTTTTTGGCCCCAGATCCCTAAATGGCCCCCTCAAGGATTGAACTCACAACCCTGCGTTTAGAAGGGCAATGCTCAAACCACTGAGCTATCTCTCCCCAAGGCCAGTCTAGTTGAGCATGCTCTTTAAAGAGGTGTGGTTAAAATGATAACGCAATTGGTAATTTTACCTCTGTTTATCTGAAGGTGTGGCCTGAAGTAACAGATCCCGAAAAATTTGTATATGAAGATGTTGCCATTGCTACTTATCTGCTGGTAAGTGTCTGGTAATAGACTAGCAGAATTTTAAAAAAGACTAGATTACGATATCTGGGGTAGCAAAAATGGAATAGTGGTTAGAGCAATAGACTTGAGAGTAGAAATCTGTATTGTATTTCTGGTTCTAACACTGACTTCCTATCTAATCTGATATGAATTACTTCAGATGAGATTTTCAAAGCAGTCTAGGAGAAGATGTAGGTGCTTTTGAAAAATTCACTCTTAAGTCCCATTTTCAAAAGAAACTCAGGGCCAGATTTTCAAAAGTATTTAGGCATCTAAAAATGCAAATTGGTGTCTACTTGGATTTATCTGGATCTTACATACCTTTGAAAATCTGGCCTTTTAGGCTCCTTAGTCACTGAGGCATTTACGTTTTCAGAGGAAGTCTAAATGCCTTAGATTGCTCTGAAAATTTCAGTCATAACCTCTGTGATTCAGCTTCTTCATCTGTAAAATAAAATATTAGTGAAGATACTCCCGCATGGACCGTGCTTTATAATGCAATATGATTGCTTACAATTTTATTTTCAAAGGTAACATTTGTAGATGGATACCAATATTAGGATAATACAGTCACATTCTTTAGGGGTAAGATGATCACATCTTGTGGAATATTCTTAACAGTTTTTTGTTTTTGTTTTTAAATGTACTTTGTGACAATGGCTGTAAGTTTAACCTGTTGTGTTCCTTGAGATAATGTATGTCCTATGAAGTGACAGTAATTCTTTTAGTAACAGTTGTTAAAATGATTGTTATTGGTTACAAAAGCTACTCTGACATTACCCAGGGTACAATCTGGACTGTCGAACAGCTGTGTCCTCTCAATTCTCCAGCCTGGGGTGCCTTTTACACTGATTTGCTGTGAGAGCCACCACTCCTGGTTTGCTCACAGACAGCTTCCAGCATGTAAATTATTCCCAGCTCTATAGTGGCCATAGCCAGCCACTCCTGAATTATACTGCAGCGTAACACTAGAAAATTCCTCGTCCCAAACTTGTCCCCAGAAATGTGAATGTTATACTGCCCAGACTGCTCTTTCCTTCTGGACAATATAAGCTCATAGAAAGTCCATAGTCTCATAGAAAGTAAGCTTAGGAGGTTTTCATGTCAAGGTTCCTTCCCCATTCTGAACTCTAGGGTACAGATGTGGGGACCTGCATGAAAACCTCCTAAGCTTACTTTTACCAGCTTAGGTTAAAACTTCCCCAAGGTACAAACTATTTTACCCTTTGCCCTTGGACTTCCACTGCCACCACCAAACTTTATCTGGGTTCCTGAGAAAACGTTGTTCGGAAATGTCTTTCCCCCCCAAAATCCTCCCAACCCTTGCACCCCACTTCCTGGGGAAGGTTTGGTAAAAATCCTCACAAATTTGCATAGGTGACCACAGACCCAAACCCTTGGATCTGAGAACAATGAAAAAGCATTCAGTTTTCTTACAAGAAGACTTTTAATAGAAGTAAAAGAGAATCACCTCTGTAAAATCAGAATGGTAAATACCTTACAGGGTAATTAGATTCAAAACATAGAGAATCCCTCTAGGCAAAACCTTAAGTTATAAAAAAGACACACAGACAGGAATATTCATTCTATTCAGCACAGCTATTTTCTCAGCCATTTAAATAAATCATAATCTAACGCATATCTAGCTAGATTACTTACTAAATTCTAAGACTCCATTCCTGTTCTGTCCCCGGCAAAAGCATCACACAGACAGACACAGACCCTTTGTTTTTCTCCCTCCTCCCAGCTTTTGAAAGTATCTTGTCTCCTCATTGGCCATTTTGGTCAGGTGCCAGCGAGGTTACCTTTAGCTTCTTAACCCTTTACAGGTGAAGGGATTTTTCCTCTGGCCAGGAGGGATTTTAAAGGTGATTACCCTTCCCTTTATATTTATGACACCCCCTGTGACTGGAAGGGCCTCCCTAACCTTGCTCTCCTCCTTCAGCACTTGCTTCACTCTCCTGATCTGTCAATCTTGTAACCCTTGTCCTCCTTGAGCCACTTTTATTATCCCTAGTCCTGTTATATCTCATTTAGGTAGTTAAGCTGATCGGGGCAGGACGTGTCCCTACTACATTGGCCCAGAAAGAAACATTTATCCTTATGGCATTAGGCAAATAATAAGTAATTTATGTTTATAAATTAATTGCTCTGAGATCATCCAATGAAAAGTGCTTTCTAAGTAAGGTCCCGTGTGCAATATGGCGAATAAAGACCTATGTTATGTGACAAGGCCAGCTCTGACATACGCGGCTGAGCTGCACTGTGCTGCAGCAAACTCAGCATCCTGCAGCAACGCTAGGAGACTAGGAATTGTTCGACATCTTTCATTTAGTATTATTAAATAATGCTAGCAATGCCCCCACTGTATGAAAATAATATACAAGCAGTGCATATGATTTATTTGCATTGTGGCAGAAGGATTCCACTTCTATGAGGCTTAGGAGCTGCCCAGCAGAGTGCATGGTTGGCAGAGGTGTGCGGTTGCATGAGGGACAGAAGAAGTCAAAGTGTGGTTTGTGTTAAGGGAAGTAGGTAGAGGTTTCCCATTCTCTCTCCTAAGTTGTGCGGGAGTTTTACTCCATTTGCGTAGGGCTTGTGAGTGCCTCATGGTAGCCACTCTCCTCAACTACACAACTTCCAAGATGCACAGAATTCTAGCTGTAGCTCACGAAAGCCTATGCTCAAATAAATTGGTTAGTCTCTAAGGTGCCACAAGTACTCCTTTTCTTTTTGCGAATATTGACTAACACGGCTGTTACTCTGAAACCTGTCAAGACAGTGCTCCATTGAAGGCAGCAGTGGATTAGGCACCATTTGGGTATCACTGGATTCTACCCCCAGCACTGCCACTGGACTGATATGTGACTGTGACCTGGTTATTTTGCCTGATTGTACCCCAGTCTCCACACTCATGAAAGGTAGCATCTTAGAAATCTATGGGTAAAAGCAATAAATTAAGGTCTAAGTAGTAATACTATCATTCAGACTTTTCTGCCCACCACTTATGGGGAAAATGGATCAGTAGGGCAGATTGCTTCTGAATCACAAATGATCTACTTTCACTACTTCCCATTGTGTGCCTTAAAGGGCATCAGGAAAGACACAAACAAAATACCCCTGTGGAAAAGGGAGGCAAAATGGTATATGCACTAGCTGAGGGGTTGGAAGACGGCCATTTTTGTTGATTTATGTGGCACAAACCAAGATTTTTGATCACCTGTCGTGTGATCCCACAATTGTGTTATTTCTGTCTAACGTATTTACATGGGCCCCCTTGCCATAGTATCTCAGCCCCTCACGCTCTTTAATGTATTTATGCTTGCAACAGCCCTGTGAGGTAGGCAAGTGCTGTGATCCGCATTTTAGAGATGGGAAACTGAGGCACTAAGTGACTTGTCCAGTGGTACACAGGAAGTCAGTGGAAGAGCTGGGCACTAATTAGAAAAACTGGACGTGCACAAGTCCATGGGGCCGGATGAGTTGCATCCGAGAGTGCTAAAGGAACTGGCGGCTGTGATTGCAGAGCCATTGGCCATTATCTTTGAAAACTCGTGGCGAACGGGGGAAGTCCCGGATGACTGGAAAAAGGCTAATGTAGTGCCAATCTTTAAAAAAGGGAAGAAGGAGGATCCTGGGAACTACAGGCCAGTCAGCCTCACTTCAGTCCCCGGAAAAATCATGGAGCAGGTCCTCAAAGAATCAATCCTGAAGCACTTACATGAGAGGAAAGTGATCAGGAACAGTCAGCATGGATTCACCAAGGGAAGGTCATGCCTGACTAATCTAATCGCCTTCTATGATGAGATTACTGGTTCTGTGGATGAAGGGAAAGCAGTGGATGTATAGTATCTTGACTTTAGCAAAGCTTTTGACATGGTCTCCCACAGTATTCTTGTCAGCAAGTTAAGGAAGTATGGGCTGGATGAATGCACTATAAGGTGGGTAGCAAGTTGGCTAGATTGTCGGGCTCAACGGGTAGTGATCAATGGCTCCATGTCTAGTTGGCAGCCGGTGTCAAGTGGAGTGCACCAGGGGTCGGTCCTGGGGCCGGTTTTGTTCAATATCTTCATAAATGATCTGGAGGATGGTGTGGATTGCATTCTCAGCAAATCTGCGGATGATACTAAACTGGGAGGAGTGGTAGATACGCTGGAGGGCAGGGATAGGATACAGAGGGACCTAGACAAATTGGAGGATTGGGCCAAAAGAAATCTGATGAGGTTCAATAAGGATAAGTGCAGGGTCCTGCACTTAGGACGGAAGAACCCAATGCACCGCTACAGACTAGGGGCCGAATGGCTAGGCAGCAGTTCTGCGGAAAAGGACCTAGGGGTGACAGTGGACGAGAAGCTGGATATGAGCCAGCTGTGTGCCCTTGTTGCCAAGAAGGCCAATGGCATTTTGGGATGTATAAGTAGGGGCATAGCGAGCAGATCGAGGGACGTGATCATTCCTCTCTATTCGACATTGGTGAGGCCTCATCTGGAGTACTGTGTCCAGTTTTGGGCCCCACACTACAAGAAGGATGTGGATAAATTGGAGAGAGTCCAGCGAAGGGCAACAAAAATGATTAGGGGTCTGGAACACATGAGTTATGAGGAGAGGCTGAGGGAATTGGGATTGTTTAGACTGCAGAAGAGAAGAATGAGGGGGGATTTGATAGCTGCTTTCAACTACCTGAGAGGTAGTTCCAGAGAGGATGGTTCTAGGCTATTCTCAGTGGTGGAAGAGGACAGGACAAGGAGTAATGGTCTCAAGTTGCAGTGGGGGAGGTTTAGATTGGATATTAGGAAAAACTTTTTCACTAGGAGGGTGGTGAAACACTGGAATGCATTGCCTAGGGAGGTGGTGAAATCTCCTTCCTTAGAAGTTTTTAAGGTCAGGCTTGACAAAGCCCTGGCTGGGATGATTTAATTGGGGATGGGTCCTGCTTTTGAGCAGTGGGTTGGACTAGATGACCTCCTGAGGTCCCTTCCAACCCTGATATTCTATGATTCTGTGATTCTATGATTCTATTAAACCTAGATCTCCTGAGTCCCAGGCTAGCAGCTTAATCACTTAAAACTATTCTTCCTCTCCATCAGTGCACTTGGGCATGAACTTTTATTGTTAGCTTATGCAACCTCTCATTTAAACTTTTTGCTTGAAAATGTAGTATGTGCTTCCACTTGCAAACCCTTATTCATGTTGAGTAGTCTTTACTCACAGGAGAAGATCCACTGAAGTCCATATCTCTACTCATATGAATAAGAGTTGCAGGAATGGGCCACAAATATTTTAGTCATTGAGAAAATGCTCTGAGAGATTAAAACTTGTTTTAATTTTTGTCTTTACTTAGATCCTTTGGGAAGAAGAGAGAGCAGAAAAAGGGTTGTCTAAGAAACAGTCTTTTGTAGACCTAGGATGCGGAAATGGTCTGCTGGTTCATATTCTGAGCAATGAAGGGGTAAAAACAATTTTTTTTTTTAACAAAAGTGGAGGTGTTCAGTATTCTGGTTCTCCTTTCCTTTATCTGGCATGTTTGATAGCTGGAATGTGCTTCATTAATATCATTAAAGCAAGGGTTTGAATCTCTGCAATTATCAGGAAAAAAAAAAACTGATTACAAGCTTTTTGTTAGTATAAGTGGTTCTCTGTGAAATGAACTTGTTTCCTGCTCAAGGCTAATGTAGAGGAAAAGAAACAAAATGTAATTATGCAGCCTAATCATGCTATGGGTATAGAAAGATGGGAAATAACTTAAAATCAACAAAATCTTCAGGGTCCTGAAATGAAATCTTTTTTGTAATCTGTTATCTGCTAATCATCAAAGACACAGTGGGCCAGGGCTTTAAAATGGAGTTTGTTTGACTGCATCAAAAAAGGTAACTAGGTAATATAATGTGTACTAAATGTATCGTAGACTGTACTTTATGGCACAGCCTATGGGTTTAGTTGTTGCCTGTACTGCCTTTTTGGATTCCGGGGGAACACTTCTGGACTGACAGCACTCCACACCAACTTGATCCTTGGAAAGAAAACTAACTAGCTCTAGTTCACTGCAGGATTTATCCCTTAACAGTAGTGATTAAGCTGATTTCCTTGGCAGCTGGCCTTGTTACCCTGCCATTTAACCCAGCAGGAAGTAGCATAACAGCTGACATTTACTGACATTAAAGCTACAAGATATTTTTCCTTACCATGACAAATGGTCATGTAATTGTGAAAAAGACTACCAGTACGTGGTGCTTGTGTGCATGGAGCATAACAAAATGTAGGTCCTCGAGTCTGATTTTTATCAGAAATGTTTGATGGAAACGAAAATGTTAAAGAAGAGTTCTATGTGATACAACAAAATCCCATGACTTTCAGAGTCTGTCTGTTTCATCTCAGAACATTTTCTTCATCGTTTTTAAGAACTGTTTTGAAAAGGAACTTAATAGTTATAAAAAAATTTTATAGAACTTTAGGCATTTAATGAAAAACGTTTTTAAATTTCATGGAAATGTTTATTTCATCCATCCAGTGTAACAGACTCAATCTGAAAGTCAAGTTGGTAATTTATTCCTTTTTTCTTAGCTTAGTGTGCAGGCATAGCACCTTATGGTGAGATCCTGTCAGATACATGATAAACAAGCTTGGGCAGAGTCAGTACTTGGATGGCAAAGGAACAGATTTGTGCTGTAGGTAGTGGTGTTTGGGAATGATTCAGTGGATGAGTGAGAGATGAGATAGCTAACCAAGATTCTGACTTGTTTATGCTCAGACAGAGAACCAGGGCATTTCCCAAACAGGCATCAACCATCATAGAATCATAGAATATCAGGGTTGGAAGGGACCTCAAGAGGTCATCTAGCCCAACCCCCTGCTCAAAGCAGGACCAATCCCCAATTAAATCATTAAATCATCATGTCCAGGTCCAGGTCCAAACTGGGTAATTATATTCTGACTACCTACATTTCCCCTGCTCTTTCCATTTGACATGATATTCCAGATCTAACTCCACCTGTCGCGCAGTGCTGCTGTGTTTCACAGAGGTGGCTGCATGTCAGTGTGGATCAAGTTATCCCTGTATTTGGTTTGTGTCTTGATTTGGCAAGTGTGTATGAAGTTTTTGGATGAAATACGTGCTTATAAATATAAGATATTATGTTTTATTTTTTAATCAATTATTAATCCAAATATTTCAGTACCCAGGAAGGGGAATTGATGTCAGAAGAAGAAAAATATGGGACATGTATGGACCACAAACACATTTAGAGGTATTGTAAAAAACAGACCTACAGTATCTTTATTTTTATTTATTCATCAGTCACTGCTTCAAATTATTTAATTTAACTTGAATATATGAGTACTGTTCTGTCAGCTGCAGGGTGATGGTTCAGCATAGTCATGTTTGTAGGTTGTTGGCAAGGAAGGTTGGGGTTAGGATGTCTGTTTCTTATTGTATGCATGCATATGCTCAATTTCCCCCCAGTTCTCAGTTACAAGAACCAGCATGGGTAACCTCCCCGCCATCACCCTTCCCCGCCACGCACACAAAATAAATACAATCTTTGATCTTGAAAGATCAGAGCTTATATAGTGGTGGTGCAGCAACACCACATAGTGCTATCCTTAAGAAAATAGAAGTTCAAAAGCGTTTGGCTTATTCTTGAGAAGTTCATAATAGAATCACTCTGGAAATGATTCCAGCCACAATCCTCCTACAGTGCTGTATGCCATTTTGGAGCAGCATTATTGTTCGGTCCTAAAAGGAACAATCACCTGCTATGCTTATTTTGTAATAAGCCATCACAATAATAGCCTGCAGCAAACTGGACAGGAAAATGGGTCTGAAAGAGGGATTATCTTTCAAATTCCACATTAGCATTTTTATGAGAACAGAAACAACTAGAACACAGGAACATTCACTTTCAATCCAGCTGTGCATAGTCTTCTGTGTATCAAATCCTCATGTTGATTGATAGTTGTCTTGTTCCTTAGTTTCCTCGTTTTTTTTTCACTAAACTCCTGAAATTGACTTTTCCTATTTCCACTCTCTTAAAAGTACTCTAAGGTTTCCCCAGATTCAGCTGCTTAAAAAAAACCAAATTCCCTATATAGTTGTGTTCTAGTTGAGGCTGTTGATTAACATATCAGAGTTCAGTATGACTTTTCCCCACACTGCTTAAAAAAACAGGAATTTCAAAGTCATAGAGTTGAAGGGTTGATATTAGCTTCAGTCAGGCCAGCAGAGTTTGTACAAGTCATTGAAGTTTAAGGTACTAATTTATTACATGCAACTCTGCAACTAATTCACTTCAGTGCTGGCATGCATCATCCCTGCTTTTCCAGTCCCCATCCTCAAGTACAGAGACCGCCAATTGCATCAAACTGTTTAGTGGCTCTCAAGTGTGGACAAATAGAGACTGAATGTGACTATCACAGTTGTTTTCCCACGCAGTCCAGAGCCAGAATTTAAGCCAAGGGTTTGGGAAGTAAAAGTCTAGAGTGGCAAGACAATGTACTACTTCAACTCCCATATGCTATATATATCTAGTCACTTCTGAACTAATCAGTCATGTTCTATTCTCTCCTGTTATATATTAATTCATTTAGGCCCTGCTCCATGAAAGTCATTGGACGTTTTTCCCATTCACTTTTTTGGGCTCAGGATCAGGCCATAATGCACCATCTGGTGAGGTGCTGAGCACCCTCAACTCTCATGAACTTTTTTAGGAGCTGAGAGCACTCAACACAGTGCTTTGCACCATTGGACCCTTAATTGTATAACAAGGTGACAAGAAGGAAAAGTATCTTCCTTTTGCCCTTTAATTTTTATTAGTCTTGTGTGTTTTTTTTAAAATTTGCAAGTGCAAGTAATTAGGTTACAGTCGTGGTTAAATGAACATAGAACGGTTACAAATATGAACATAAGCTATGGGAATTATACATAAACGTTTGAAATAAATGCCTTATAAAAGCTGTTTGGTGGAGGAGCAGATTTCGAAACCTTATTTCATCGCATGCCTTTGTGGCTAAGGGAATTTTAAATTACAGGGTTTGTAAAAGAAGAAACCACCTGTTCATAGCATCTTTGTGTTACCCTGAGAGGTTTTTTAGCTTGATTTTTTTTTTAAAGCACAACTTGTAGTATGAGTATTGCAATCTGTGGCATGCAGTGCCAATACTAAAATTATTCATTAAATGTGGAGTATTGCAGCGCCAGTCTGCTGTCAGACGTGATGAATACAAATCTGCTTATGGATGATTATTTAAATGCAGAATACGGCATTGCTAATCCACACGGTTTCAAAAATGAACAATCAAAATTAAAATATAGTGTCGGTGGTAATTTGTTTATCAGAACATAAAGGCATTTACCAAACATTTTGGTTTAGTATATTTGGATGAACTTACATGGAGCATTTTGAGGAACGTGTGTGTGCGTATGCAGCATGTGTGTGTCTATGTTGTGTGTGTACGTACATGCATGCACACTGTATATAAAATGAAGGCATTGATAGTGACTCCAGAGTTAAGGCTGTATAGCGATTTTCATTTAAAGAAGGATTAAAATCTTTCTGTGTTCAGTTTCCATCTCTGGCCCAGTAACTTCAGGGGACTGTTAATTTTTCCATGGAAATTCTGAGAAAAAATATACTAACTTTTATGAGGAAACATTTTAAAATGCCTCCTTTTTAAAATTTAGCGCTCTTCCTCACTGTTCTTTGGGTTCCTCTCGCAAAATAGCCACAAACTCCAATTTTCTCTCTCTCACATGTGCTGATAGCATCTTGGGCATTGGCCACTCTTGAATTTTTAAATTAAACCAATAACAGTTCCTGCTGTTCAGGATAGCTTATGGAATGTCCCCAACCGTAGTTATTGCACAGTCTCAATGGCAGTAGCGTGGAGGGAAGGTGTCAGGTGCTAATGCCTCAGTGCAGACATGCTGAGTGCCCACACAGCCCAACCCTCTCTAATTAAAGCCCCCCCCCCATCAAAATCCTTTTCCCCAGTTCCCACGCCCATCCTAGCAACTCCCTGACTTGGTGTGTGTCAGGCGGCAGCTCCGTGATAAGTTGAAGGGGCAAAGAATGGTGGCTGTGTCGAGGTGTGAGAGGGTGTACACAGATGACATCAGGGTGAGTGGCCGTGGGGGAAGAGAGGAGCAGAAGGAGTGGAGAGGGGAAAAAATGGGATTTAATCTGAGGTGGACCAGGGGATGGGAAGCAGACCAGAGAAGCTGAATTCTGATGAATCACCTGCAATAGATGCTGTGCAAACATATGGAGACACAGTCCCTGTCCCAAAGGGTTTTATGATCTAAGACCCGGATCCTGCAAATTGAAGTCACTGGGGCTCTCTGGGGACACAGGAGTCTGCCCAGGCAGATACAGATTGCAAGATTGTGGTCTAAGAGGACAAGTGGCACAAGAAGAGTAGTGGGGGAGGGATACAATCAAATGTATATAATTTTATATTCATGTTTTTGTTGTTGTTATAGTCTCTCTGTCTAGCTTTACATCTGACTTGTTTTATGTGTTTCTATTATCTTATTTACGCTTTGCACCAATAAGACATTGTTGCATGGCAAAAGGATTTGCTTTTGGTTCAGATCAGAAAAATATTGGTAGTTCACATTCGCTGTTGCTGTTCCCCTCAAATCTATTTTAGGGTTTATACTGCTGCGCTCACTGTGTCAAATGCAATAATTCTAAAAAATGTGGGAATGAAATGTATTTTATTTTTTAAGGAATGTGCAATCAGACCAGACGACAGTTATCTCTTTTCAAATGTTGACTGGCTAATAGGAAACCATTCAGATGAGCTAACACCATGGATACCTGTAATTGCAGCTAGGTATGGAAAAAAGTTTTTGCTAAGCTCTATTATATGCATGCCCTGGGATAACTGTATACTTTTGCCTCCAGTGTTCATGAAACAATGTGGTAGTCTGTGATCTCATTGCAGGACTTGGTGGGGTTGGTGTTTAGCAGAGCGATGGCTACTCACAAAACATTTATCTCTGTAGGTATCCCATTAGGAAGCACGAGAATAGGGTTCCTGTGTAGAGGCATTTCTCCATCACAGAAAGCTGCAGTAGCATAGCAGCTCTCCAGTTTTTTTGGCACAAGAAATCGAACTAGATTTTATTCTTAGATTTAAGTCCTAATCCTGCAAGCACTTACTATCCGGTCTAGTGCTTACTGCCTTAGACTGTCCCACTCACTACATCCAGCAGCAAGAGTTAGCAGGACTTGGTCCTTTGGTATTAAATTAAACTGGGATGATAAATCTCTAGAGCAAACCCTCAAAACAACCAGTGGCTATTTCACTCAGAGGAGCACGAAAGGAGGAACATATTTATATTGCTTGACCTAGAAGCTCTGTCGCGCCATTAAAATGATTGTTTATTGCTTGTATCTGAAGTGGTATTGACTGTTTCATAGAGCCACTTAATAAAATTAGCCTTCTATAACTATTATTCAGTAGCCAATAATCCTTCTTGCAGGTCTTCCTATTCTTGTTGCTACTTTGTACTGCCTTGTTGCTTCTTTGATTTCCATGGAAAATATAACCGAAGGCAAAGCCAGAAGACACAGTACAGAGAATATCTTGATTTTGTTACACAAGTCGGATTGGAATGTGGCTTCACTGTGGAAGAAGATTGCCTTAGAATTCCCTCAACAAAAAGGGTAATTTCTGATGACATTTTAAAATGCTGCTAGCTCTTTATAACACATATATGTTTGTTCATTATGCCTGTATTGGAGAAGCAGGCCACAACAGATTAGTACATAATTGCAGACAATATTTTCCATACAAAGGCTAAAACCATTCATCTGTCTCCTGCATAGTCTGTCACTGCCCACTTAGTGTCTCGAAAAGGGGTCTAAAGGAAGCAAAAGGGGCTCTATCATTTTATAGTGCTACATAATCACATGCATGTTAGTGGAATGAAAATCTTATGGTATATCTGCTTTTCCCATATAGTCTCCTACTGCCTTTGTTTGTCCCATAGCATTTAGGTTGTTTGTCCCTTGCTGTATCTCATAAAATTCACACTGTAAGATCCTTAAAGTAGGGACCCATTTTTGGTCCTGATCCTGCCTTTTGGGTAGGGATTGTAAAGATGCTGTAAAGCATCATGAACACCTTTGGTGCAATATAAATAGTAATTTTATTTATTTTTGCTAATATAGGTATGCCTCATTGGGAAGTCCAGAACATATCCACCTATGCAAGAGGATCGAATCAATAAACAGAGAACACAGTATATTAACAACCGTCAGTCCTGCACTGAGGTCACATCAGACAAAACAGTTAGATCTAATCAGTGTGACAACCACCATGTTGTAAACTGTGTCATTGACCAAGCAGCAGTGTTGGAGCGTGCTGCAAATGAGACAAAGACAGATGGTGGCAGGGTCTGGTTATCTGGATTTCAACCCAGAGAAAAAGTAGAACAAGTCAGGAACTGTGCTGCTCTCCCTCGGGATTTTGTAGATGTTGTGGTTTTGACCGTGGCAAGCTTACTGTTAAATGCAACCCAAGAGAAACCATGGGGTCATACACTTGACGTACGTTTGAACACCTGGAATAAAGGAGGTAAGATTGTTCTTTACATGCAATGTACATTGCATACAACAGTGCTTGCTATTAAAACTTACAGTTTTCCTGCTGTCAGTACATACCATGAAAAGTACTGTAATGCTATTTCCTATGGCAAATATACAGAATATTCTTAGGAGTCTCTTTACTGCTATCATCCCTGTAATTGGTACACTAATGTTAATTAGTTGCAAAGTCATTTGTGAAAATTTCTCTGCTAACCTCCTTAGATGCCATACCATTTAGATTTTTATATCATCTATTCACACTCTTTTTATCATTTGTTAGATTCTTTTTTTCACATTTAAATACTGGGTGATAGTCTGTATTTTTACTTTTAAAAAATTAACTCAATTTACATTTCATTGTTGACAATTTTAAGGCTACTTTTTGAAAGCCTGTCTGCAAATGCTTATATCTATTTCTTAATTTAGTAAGTTTTTTTTGACACAGTCCTGCATGACATTCTCATACACAAACTGGGGAAATGTGGCTGAGAATAAATTACTATACAGTGGGTGCAAAACTGGTTGAAAGACTCTACTCAAAGAGTAATTATCAATGGTTCACTGTCAAACTGGGGGACTTGGATAGTGGAGTGGAGAGTATGCTTATAAAATTTGTGGATGAAACCAAGGTGGAAGGGGTTAGCACTTGGGATGACAGGATTAGAATTCAAAACCACCTTGACACATTGGAGAATTGGTCTGAAATCAACAAGATGCAATTTAATACAGTACTACCCTTAAGAAGGAAAAATCAAACGCACAATTACAAAATGGGGACTAACTGGCTAGCTAGGTGATATACTGCTGAACAGGCCCTGGTGGTTATAATGGATCAACCAGCAAAATATTTCTGCCACTCTGGAGAGAAACCATACAAAATAACTCCAAAAATATCCTGTAGCTTCCTGTAACTGCAATGCTGGGATACCATGCTCCAGTGTATAGATTTTGCTTGTAATTATGCTGGTCTGGTGAACTGACATTCCTTTTTTAATGGCTATTTTATTGTTTGCTGCAGAAAGTCTTTCCTTGAGGGAAGTAGCAGAACATTTAGACAAAGAGACTTTAAAGAGATTAAAGAATGAATATGGAGGCCTGCAGACATTGCTCAGGAACAATCATCAAGTGTTTGAAGGTAAAGAATAGAGAGATTTTCATTGATAATCTCTCATTTATATTTTTCTGAGTTGATTTATATATAATTGAAAGATCACTGGATTAGATCTTCAAAATACTGAGTACACTTTCTTGATGAGCAGAATTTTCCTTATATTTACTCCTATTGTATTTCCTAAAATGTCATTTGTAGATCTTTCCTTTGAAGGGTAGGGCAGAATGAGATTGATGCCTTGCTAATTAGTCAGCTGGTAGGGATGAGCTGTGAATCTGGCATGCTTCCCTATACAAACCATTTCCCCCTTATTTACCTGTTACTGTAGCAGGAATTCTCAGCAGGATGCTACACTTGGACTAGATTGGAGAAAACTTTCCCCCCTCCTACAGTGATGACAGTGTTGAAGGAAGTCAAGTGCAGATTAAGAAAGTCTTCTGGAGCCTCTCATTAAGACTTAGTCTGGACTTAACAAGCACTCCAGAGAAAAATGCTCACACAAAAGACAACTGGTCTAGAGTGGAGCCTCTAATTATGCGAGGCTTGACAGATTTATACAGGCTGCAGTAGCCTGGCAGAATAGGAAGCTAACAACAAAATAATTTTTTTTTTTAATGTTCTGTTGATTTTCTTCGGGTTTTCTTTTTGCTGCTGTCATTGTAGGATTTTTGTGGCATTGATGCCTAGCTGCTGAATAATCTCAAAACCAGCACTTTCAAACGTTGGTGCATAGGTTTGTATAATGTGAGTGTGTTTTATAAAGAGTTTTCAGTTCTTGGATCCAATGGTCCCATGTTAGCAGAAATATGGGAGGCAACTGACCCATGACAATTGTCCAGAGTGTCACCAGGTACCAGTGGATGAACTGGTAGGTTACCAGAAAACGTATATTCTTCTTGTTTTATTGAGAGGAAGTAGGTAGAAGCTTCGTGGTAGTTCCAGACTGTAGTAGTCCTGAGGAATAATATAAAAGCCCAGACAATGTTACATCTACACGAGGACTTTCTATGGTATTAGTCCTAGCCCTGGGAAGTGTTAGATGCCACGGAGGTTATAAACATGTGTGCCCTCTGTTGCTACCAACCATGGAACTGTGTGACCATCATTAGGAAAAGTGCTGGTTTTGACACGGTCGGATATGGGTCAGAGTTAACACCCACTGAGAAGAGTCAGTTCACACTTGTTCTTCGGGTTCATGCTGCCCCTTCCATGGATGATCATCTTGTGGTGGAACTAGTGAAGTTCCACTACAAAGCAAGGCGGGGCAGGATTTGGGACCCCCAGCAGAAGGCGAGTTCTCCTGTTTTCCTTATGCCAAGCTCCTTGGGGGCTGTCTGCATGCTACCTGAGCAGAGGAGATTTGGATATGGGGCTAATTGAATAAGTGGCACTGAAGTTACTCCACCTGTGAGGCTTCAGTAGAGACGTCACTCTGCTATTGTGACAGGGCTAGGGGGAGAGGGGATTCTTACCACCAGCCACCCTTGGAGCAAGCTTAAAACTGGCCACGCCAAAGAGGGCAAAGAGAAAATGGGGTCATAGCTCCTCTGCCTTCTCCATGCAAGCAGAACTGGGAGCATGCTGCACCTTTCTGTGGGAAGGGGATGTGGGTGCTCTCTCCTTTTATACCAGCGTGTTCTGGAATGAAGTGTCCTTCAAGCCACTCCCAACACCAGTGCACAATCAAGGCCATTAGCAACATTGCTTGAAACAGCATTCACAGAGTTTGTGACGCGAGACTGAGTGATAGTTTGGGACATCTGGTGGCTCGATTTCTTTTTCTGACAAAGAAGATCCAAAAAGGCGGGGGTGCAAAAAGAATAATTAGCCAGGAGCTTAAAATTACAAATCTGTGCTGGCATTTTATAGTCACATATTTGGTCCAGTTTGGGACTAATATCCTGGAATGATTGAACCTGATCTTACATGCTAACATCCCTCTGTTCGATTCTCTTTGAGTTTTGAGAGAGATGGTAACACTAAACTGATTTCGCTTTTAAGAACTGGGATAAAATGCATTTATATATATTAGCCTATCACAAGGCAAAATAATCCTCTATCATTGGTAGGAGCACTTTCTCTCGGGCCTAAAGGAATGATACAGAGATGGGCAAAAAATGCAGATTTGGGTTAACCAAAGCATGTTGTGAATTTGTGACAAATTGTTTTGATTGGGGGGAGGGAAGGGGCAGGGAACAGCTTTTAAAAAAATTCCAGAAAAGCTGAAACATTTAATTTTCACATTTTCTAAACATTTTGAGTTTTCTATTTGAAGTGACTTTTCATTTTAAAATTACCTTTTAATATTTTTTTTAAATTGAAAAAAGGAAAGAAAAGCTCAGTCAAAATGAAATTGTTTCATTTTGGATCAAACAAAGCGGTTTAGTTTGTTTAGTCCAAAACAATTTTTTTTTCAACTTTTTTCACCAAAAATTCTGGTTCTGGGTAAACCGAAAATGAATTTTTTTTTTTTTTAAATTGCAAGTGAGCTGAAAAATCAGTGGTATTAAGATTATATTGCACTCCATAGGTTTTAAAAGTGATTTTCAGAATACAGAATAATGTGGATAAATTTTTAAAGATACAGGAGCAGTCCATAATTACATGGGCTAAATGGCATAAAGACAGTAGCTCCCGGAAACTTGCCAGTAATTGTTTATCTCCCCTTCCTTCCATCCTCTTTTCTTCTTCCTCTCTTGTGTATTAACTTGCTTTCTATATGGTTTCTTTATTCTTATACATATAAAATTCAGTATACAGTCACAGATGTGTATGTACAGTTTCTGGCCCTGATCCTGCTAGTGCAGCAGTTCTCAAACTGTGGGTCGTGAAGCTGAAGCCCGAGTCCCACCACCCGGGGCCAAAGCTGATGCCCAAGGGCTTCAGCTGTGGGTGTCGGGGCTCAGGTTACAGGCCCCCTGCCTTGGGCTGAAGCCCTGGGCTTTGGCTTTGCCCTCCCTTCCCTCCCAAGGGCAGTGGGGCTCAGGCTTTGGTCCCCCCCCCCAATTTTTGTTGTCAGAAGGGGGTCGCGATGCAATGAAGTTTGAGAACCCCTGTGCTAGTGAATATGGCTAAGGCCTTTTGTGCCTGATGCAAAACTCCTTTAATTTCAGTGGCGCTCCATGCAGGCACAAAGATACATTCACATGATCCAATTGGAGGCTCTAAATCTCTTCTCTGTGGCATACCTTGGTGCACCATTCTCATTGCTGAAGATTCTCATTTACAGATCTCAGAAAGAACACCCTGCTTTTTATTGCCAATTAATTTTTAAAATGTGGAGTAATGCAATATCAAAAGAAAGAGAGAACATGTGCAGGATTACAATATATAGTGTTTAGCTCCTAGCAAAAAGAAGGTTTAACCTGCAGAAAAATGTTTAGGGTAAAGCATTAGTAAAGAGGATTACTTGCAAATACCAGGTTTCTCTATATTACTAATACTCATTATATGTACTATCGCACCTTGTTACTTGGGGATCTCAAAACACTGTACAAACCCTTAATTAGACCTTGTGATACCCGAGTGAGGGGGATACGTGACATATACTTTGCAGGTAGATGGTTGAACTGGGGCACAGAAATTTAAATGATGCTTTGCCCATAAAAGAATAAATTAGTATATTTGTAGAGCCCTGCAAATCTGCAGATATCCGCAGATATCTGCAGACAATGTTTGTGGATCGCGGATCAGATGCAGATACAAATTTTGTATCTGTGCAGGGCTCTGTATATTTGCATTCCTTTATTCTGATGTTGATAGTATTGTATTTATTTAAATGTCTCACTCCGTGTGTGTACACGCGCACACGCACTCCTCCATTTGCTTTTATATGATTTATTTACAAAAAAATCAAAATTAATTTTAAAAAGATGTTAAATGACTTCCCTGAAATCACATGGTATTAAGGGAACGCGGTGGAAGAATTAACTCCTCATTTCTAGTTTTCTCCTTTATTTGATGGACACTTCCTTCTCTATAGCGGCCCTGATCCAAAACCCAGGTAAGTCAATTGGAGTCTTTCCTCTGATGATAGTGGACTTTGAATCAGGCTCCAAAAGGTTAACTTATTTGTTTGAAAATTTCCCTTTCCCTACAAATAAACAAAGTTGTTTTCCTTTTATAAATAGGTGCCCAGTGTTTGAAGCCAAGAGTTTTCATTCCAGGGCTAACTCCACCTCTTGTTTGGGTTGGGCTTTCCCAAAATTTATGTATTATTTATGCCATTTAAAGAGAGGGATGTTGCTTTCCAGTATCTGCATCTCTTCGAGGGGTACCTCTATTTCTACACACAGGGTTTTATTTATTATATAGTTATTTATTTGCTATCCCCTGTAGGATAGTTTAGATCCTAATCCTGACCGCTATCTACAAATGAGTCAGCTCAGCACAGACTACATAAGGTGCCCTAAAACTGTCCAATATAACAATGACATCCCCTATAAGTCCTGGTCTACACTAGGAGTTAAGGTCGAATTTAGCAGCGTTAAATTGATTTAACCCTGCACCCGTCTACACGACGAAGCCTTTTTTTCAACTTAAAGGGCTCTTAAAATCGATTTCCTTACTCCACCCCCGACAAGGGGATTAGCGCTGAAATCGGCCTTGCCGGATCGAGTTTGGGGTACTGTGGACGCAATTAGACGGTATTGGCCTTCGGGAGCTATCACAGAGTGCTCCATTGTGACCGCTCTGGACAGCACTCTCAACTCAGATGCAGTGGCCAGGTAGACAGGAAAAGGCCCGCGAACTTTTGAATTTCAATTTCCTGTTTGGCCAGCGTGGCAAGCTGCAAGTGAGTGCAGAGCTCATCAGCAGAGGTGACCAGCATGGACTGAACAGGAGGTACGGGATCTGATCGCTGTATGGGGAGAGGAATCTGTGCTATCAGAACTCAGTTCCAGTTTTTGAAATGCCAAAACATTTGTCAAAATCTCCCAGGGCATGAAGGACAGAGGCCATAACAGGGACCCGAAGCAGTGCCGCATGAAATTTAAGGAGCTGATGCAAGCCTACCAGAAAACCAGAGAGGCAAACAGCCGCTCCAGGTCAGAGCCCCAAACATGCCGCTTCTATGACGAGCTGCATGCCATTTTAGGGTGTTCAGCCACCACTACCCCAGCCGTGTTGTTTGACTCCTTCAGTGGAGATGGAGGCAACACAGAAGCAGGTTTTGGGGACGAGAAAGATAGTTCACAGCAAGCAAGCGGAGAAACCAGTTTTTCCAACAGCCAGGAACTGTTGCTCACCTTGGACCTGGAGACAGTACCCCCCGAACCCACCCAAGGCTGCCTCCCGGACCCGCCAGGCGGAGAAGGAACCACTGGTGAGTGTACCTTTTAAAATACTATACATGGCTTAAAAGCAAGCATGTTTATCATAAAATCATAGAATAACAGAGTTGGAAGGGACCTCTGGAGGCCATCTAGTCCAATCCCCTGTCCAGAGCAGGACCAATCCCAACTAAATCATCCCAGCCAGGGCTTTGTCAAGCCTGACCTTAAAAACTTCTAAGGAAGGGGATTCCACCACCTCCCTAGGTAACACATTCCAGTGTTTCACCACCCTCCTAGTGAAAAAGTTTTTCCTAATATCCAACCTAAACCTCCCCCACTGCAACTTGAGACCATTACTCCTTGTCCTGTCATCTGCTATCACTGAGAATAGTGTAGATCCATCCTCTTTGGATCCACCTTTCAGGTAGTTAAAAGCAGCTATCAAATCCCCCCTCATTCTTCTCTTCTTCTCTTCCGTAGACTAAGCAATCCCAGTTCCCTCAGCCTCTCCTCATAAGTCATGTGTTCAGTCCCCTAATCATTTTTGTTGCTCTTTGCTGGACTCTCTCCAATTTTTCCACATCCTTCTTGTAGTGTGGGATCCAAAACTGGACACAGTACTCCAGATGAGTCCTCACCAATGTCGAATAGAGGGGAACGATCACGTCCCTCGATCTGCTGGCAATGCCCCTACTTATATACCCCAAAATGCCATTGGCCTTCTTGGCAACAAGGGCACACTGTTGACTCATATCCAGCTTCTCATCCACTGTCACCCCTAGGTCCTTCTCTGCAGAACTGCTGCCTAGCCATTCGGTCCCTAGTCTGTAGCGGTGCATTGGATTCTTCTGTCCTAAGTGCAGGACTCTGCACTTGTCCTTGTTGAACCTCATCAGATTTCTTTTGGCCCAATCCTCCAATTTGTCTAGGTCCCACTGTATCCTATCCCTACCCTCCAGCATTTCTACCACTCCTCCCAGTTTAGTGTTATCTGCAAACTTGCTGATTAATTAAATCATTAATTTAATGATTAATTTACCCTGCCATTCGCTGCTCTCCTGGATGTACTCCCAAAGCCTTTGCAAAAGGTTTCTGGGGAGGGCAGCCTTATTCCGTCCACCATGGTAGGACACTTTACCACTCCAGGCCAGTAGCACGTACTCAGGAATCATTGTAGAACAAAGCATTGCAGTGTATGTTTGCTGGCATTCAAACAACATCCATTCTTTATCTCTCTGTGTTATCCTCAGGAGAGTGATATCATTCATGGTCACCTGGTTGAAATAGGGTGCTTTTCTTAAGGGGACATTCAAAGGTGCCCATTCCTGCTGGGCTGTTTGCCTGTGGCTGAACAGAAATGTTCCCCGCTGTTAGCCACGGGGAGGGGGAAGGGGTGAGGGGCTAGCCACACGGTGGGGGGAGGGAAAATGTGGCGTTGTAACGAAAGCACATGTGCTATGTATGTAATGTTAACGGCAAGATTTACCGTGAAAGAGTGTACACATTGTTCTATAAAATGTGGTTTTTTTTGAATACCACGATCTCTTTTTTTTTCCTCCACCAGCTGCATGTGTTTCAAGGATCACAGGATCTTCTCCTTCCCAGAGGCTAGTGAAGATTAGAAGGCGAAAAAAACCGCACTCGTGATGAAATGTTCTCTGAGCTCATGCTGTCCTCCCACACTGACAGAGCACAGACGAATGCATGGAGGCAGACAATGTCAGAGTGCAGGAAAGCACAAAATGACCGGGAGGAGAGGTGGCGGGCTGAAGAGAGGGCTGAAGCTGAAAGGTGGCGGCAGCGTGATGAGAGGAGGCAGAATTCAGTGCTGAGGCTGCTGGAGGATCAAACTAATATGCTCCAGCATATGGTTGAGCTGCAGGAAAGGCAGCTGGAGCACAGACCGCCGCTACAGCCCCTATGGTAACCAACCGCCCTCCTCCCCAAGTTCCATAGCCTCCTCACCCAGACACCCAAGAACGCAGTGGGGGGGCCTCCGGCCACCCAGCCACTCCACCCCAGAGGATTGCCCAAGCAACAGAAGGCTGGCATTCAATAAGTTTTAAAGTTTTAAACTTTTAAAGTGCTGTGTGGCCTTGTCCTTCCCTCCTCCACCACCCCTCCCGGTGCTTCTCTCCTCCACCACCCCACCGGGGCTACCTTGGCTGTTATCCCCCATTTGTGTGATGAATTAATAAAGAACGCATGAATGTGAAGCAACAATGACTTTATTGCCTCTGCAAGCGGTGATCAAAGGGAGGAGGGGAGGGTGGTTAGCTTACAGGGAAGTAGAGTGAACCAAGGGGCAGGGGATTTCATCAAGGAGAAACAAAGAGAACTTTCACACTGTAGCCCGGCCAGTCATGAAACTGGTTTTCAAAGCTTCTCTGATGCGTACCATGCCCTCCTGTGCTCTTCTAACCGCCCTGGTGTCTGCTATGTGTAACCAGCGGCCAAGTGATTTGCCTCAACCTCCCACCCCACCCCCTTACTCTCACAGATATTGTGGAGCACACAGCAAGCAGTAATAACAGTGGGAATATTGGTTTCGCTGAGGTCTAAGCGAGTCAGTAAACTGCGCCAGTGCGCCTTTAAACGTCCAAATGCACATTCTACCACCATTCTGCACTTGCTCAGCCTGTAGTTGAACAGCTCCTGACTACTGTCCAGGCTGCCTGTGTACGGCTTCAGGAGCCATGGCATTAAGGGGTAGGCTGGGTCCCCAAAAATAACTATAAGCATTTCAACATCCCCAACGGTTATTTTCTGGTCTGGGAATAAAGTCCCTTCCTGCAGCTTTTGAAACAGATCAGAGTTCCTTAAGATGCGAACGTCATGTACCTTTCCCGGCCATCCCACGTTGATGTTGGTGAAACGTCCCTTGTGATCCACCAGAGCTTGCAGCACTATTGAAAAGTACCCCTTGCGGTTTATGTACTCGCCGGCTTGGTGCTCCGGTGCCAAGATAGGGATATGGGTTCCGTCTATGGCCCAGCCACAGTTAGGGAATCCCATTGCAGCAAAGCCATCCACTCTGACCTGCACATTTCACAGGGTCACTACCCTTAATATCAGCAGATCTTTGATTGTGTTGGCTACTTGCATCACAGCAGCCCCCACAGTAGGTTTGCCCACTCCAAATTGATTCCCGACTGACCGGTAGCTGTCTGGCGTTGCAAGCTTCCACAGGGCTATCGCCACTCGCTTCTCAACTGTGAGGGCTGCTCTCATCTTGGTATTCATGTGCTTCAGGGCAGGGGAAAGCAAGTCACAAAGTTCCATGAAAGTGCCCTTATGCATGCAAAAGTTTTGCAGTCACTGGGTATCATCCCAGACCTGCAACATTATGCGGTCCCACCAATCTGTGCTTGCTTCCCGGGCATGAATAGCCCATTTATAGTCCATATATGTATGCGCAGATGATCAGTGTAATTCCCACTGACCTCTAGTAATGGTTTGTGTGCTTGCTTTTTTTTTTTTAAACCCTCAGTTCTAAATGGAAGAGTTCATATTCGTGACTGGAGAGAAGAGAAACCCTCAAAGCGAACCAAGTCAGAAGTAAAACGAAGATTTTCTGCTGAAGCTTTTAAAACACGTCTCTGTTGGTTTTTCATCCACCATCCTGATGGCTGTTCTCTGACTTCTGAATCTTGTCCATATGCTCATGGGACTGAAGAGCTGAGGCAGTCTCAGATTATGAAAAAGAAAAAGCACCCACAGTAATGAAGTACTGTTGGTTACTCTTAACAGCACAAATAAATGGATTTCTGATTAATTGAATGGACTTCTGAATGCATGAAGAATGTATAAGATTAAGTCTCTCTCTTTATTTATGTGTTCATTGTATTTATCCAGTTTCTTATAAGTCCTTTTCTAATTTTAACTGATTTTTTTTCTTTTTTAGGGATTTTTATGGACATGAAAATGTTGAAATCCAGATGAAAATGTCCATGATTTATTTTTTTATTTTATTTTTGGTAACATCCTTAAAGTATAGGGTTTTACATTTTGAAAACAGTTGTGGTCTGGCTGCTCACTGTTTTTTATTATGTTTTGTTCAAACAGAAAAGTAAAACCAGCTTTTAAAATCTCAGCACAGTCTTCAAGCTCTTTGGCTGATTGGTGAGGCCTCATCTGGAGTACTGTGTCCAGTTTTGGGCCCCACACTACAAGAAGGATGTGAAAAAATTGGAAAACGTCCCGCAGAGGGCAGCAAAAATGATTAGGGGACTGGAACACATGACTTATGAGGAGAGGCTGAGGGAACTGGGATTGTTTAGTCTGCGGAAGAGAAGAATGGGGGGATTTGATAGCTGCTTTCAACTACCTGAAAGGGGGTTCCAAAGAGGATGGATCTAGACTGTTCTCAGTGGTGGCAGATGACAGAACAAGAAGCAATGGTCTCAAGTTGCAGAGGGGGAGGTGTAGGTTGGATATTAGGAAACAGTATTTCACTAGGAGGGTGGTGAAGCACTGGAATGGGTTACCTGGGGAGGTAGTGGAATCTCCAGCCTTAGAGGTTTTTAAGGCCCGGCTTGACAAAGCCTTGGCTGGGATAATTTAGTTGGTGTTAGTCCTGCTTTGCGCAGGGGATTGGACTAGATGACCTCCTGAGGTCTCTTCCAACCATAATATTCTGTTATTCTAAGGGGTATCGGGGAGTGAGGAAAAGGAGAGCTCCTTGGGCCCTGTGGGGGAACCAATATGGAAGACTCCAAAGCATTTGTTCTGGGACCTTCTAAGTCATGACCGGCCTTCACTCTTAGAATCATAGAATCATAGAATATCAGGGTTGGAAGGGACCCCTGAAGGTCATCTAGTCCAACCCCCTGCTCGAAGCAGGACCAATTCCCAGTTAAATCATCCCAGCCAGGGCTTTGTCAAGCCTGACCTTAAAAACCTCTAAGGAAGGAGATTCTACCACCTCCCTAGGTAACGCATTCCAGTGTTTCACCACCCTCTTAGTGAAAAAGTTTTTCCTAATATCCAATCTAAACCTCCCCCACTGCAACTTGAGACCATTACTCCTCGTTCTGTCATCTGCTACCATTGAGAACAGTCTAGAGCCATCCTCTTTGGAACCCCCTTTCAGGTAGTTGAAAGCAGCTATCAAATCCCCCTCATTCTTCTCTTCTGCAGGATAAACAATCCCAGCTCCCTCAGCCTCTCCTCATAAGTCATGTGTTCTAGACCCCTAATCATTTTTGTTGCCCTTCGCTGGACTCTCTCCAATTTATCCACATCCTTCTTGTAGTGTGGGGCCCAAAACTGGACACAGTACTCCAGATGAGGCCTCACCAATGTCGAATAGAAGGGAACGATCACGTCCCTCGATCTGCTCGCTATGCCCCTACTTATACATCCCAAAATGCCATTGGCCTTCTTGGCAACAAGGGCACACTGCTGACTCATATCCAGCTTCTCGTCCACTGTCACCCCTAAGTCCTTTTCTGCAGAACTGCTGCCTAGCCATTCGGTCCCTAGTCTGTAGCTGTGCATTGGGTTCTTCCGTCCTAAGTGCAGGACCCTGCACTTATCCTTATTGAACCTCATCAGATTTCTTTTGGCCCAATCCTCCAATTTGTCTAGGTCCTTCTGTATCCTATCCCTCCCCTCCAGCGTATCTACCACTCCTCCCAGTTTAGTATCATCCGCAAATTTGCTGAGAGTGCAATCCACACCATCCTCCAGATCATTTATGAAGATATTGAACAAAACCGGCCCCAGGACCGACCCTTGGGGCACTCCACTTGATACCGGCTGCCAACTAGACATGGAGCCATTGATCACTACCCGTTGAGCCCGACAATCTAGCCAGCTTTCTACCCACCTTATAGTGCATTCATCCAGCCCATACTTCCTTAACTTGCTGACAAGAATACTGTGGGAGACCGTGTCAAAAGCTTTGCTAAAGTCAAGAAACAATACATCCACTGCTTTCCCTTCATCCACAGAACCAGTAATCTCATCATAAAAGGCGATTAGATTAGTCAGGCATGACCTTCCCTTGGTGAATCCATGCTGGCTGTTCCTGATCACCTTCCTTAAAGGTTCATTAAAATTGATCGAGTCAGCACAAACTGTGTTTAATGATAACCTTTCTTAGATTGACAAGACTTACAGTCGTCATACAACAATGGCATGTCTTGCATCCTCCAGTTGGTTAAGCTCCTCCCTGCTGGAACATGTCATTTTCTTTAAAGGGCAGAAGTCTCTGTAATAATTGGTGTAATCTTCAGTTAAGTGATCTTAGAGTTGAAGGTTCACTATCCAGTCTCCAGTACAACGAGTCATTTCAGTCCTGGCCTGACAGCATTGTTCCATCCAGGATGTGTTGAGGCACATTCCCTTACATTGTGAAACCATGTGGGAGGAAACTCACTGAGACAGGATTTTGTATGTAACTCCACTGCTATTTGGAGCAGCAGCATGAAGCAAGGCTGGAGAATGAAGAGAAGAAATGTGTGGCCAGGTGAGCTAAGCAGGTGGTGAAAGCAATGAGGTAAAGCTTGGTTGCAGGAATGGAGGCAGGATCCAGGAGTGAGAGTGGGCAAGTGTGGCTGGTAGAAAGGGGAGTGGAAGGTACAGCAAAACTGAATGCTGGCAGCAGTGCAAAGGAAGTGAGAGTTTGAGAAGGAATGAAGCATGGTGAAGATGGAAGAGAGAATGGAGGAGGAATGTAAGTGGTGACAATTTTTTGCAAAACTGCTCTGAAACCACTCCCAGCTTTGCTTTAATAGTCACGGTCCATTGTAGACAGAAAAAAGAAGCAAGGCAGCAAGGATTGATTCCTCCGCCTCCATGGCAGAGACAAGCTGGCCTCAAGTCACTTTTCCCTTGCTAACTTCTGTATCACTGGCCATCCCCCTCTGACACACAGGCTAGAGTGTGCACCTTGGCCTTTTTATAACCAGGTTTAGCCTTGGCTACATACGTGCAGAGCAAAAAGGAAATATAAAGTCCTGTGCTTGGGCTCCCCAACCTGCACTTCTGCCACACCATGGGGGTAGGGTTTGATGGAGAGGGGAATCCTCTAAAACAGTGGTCTCCAAAGTGGGGTGCGCAAGACCATCCCTGGAGGTGCGCAGCAGGAGGAGTGCCACCAGAGTGGCAGGAGGGTCGCTCCTGCACCTTTTGATTCTTTGGCGGCACGCCTGTGGCAGCTTGGCTCTTCCCTCTCTGTCTTCAACCACTGCTCTAAAATAATGCTTTCATTGCAAGAAAATCCACAGGGGTTTGCATGGATATGGTGGGGCAAAGCCACTCAACCATGCCCCTCAAAGGCACCACTTCAGGAAAGGAATTAATTTTGTGCTTAACTTGAAGCATGTGCTTAAGCCCCTATGCACAGAGCCCCAAAATGTGGTATTCATGCATAAGGGGCTTGTGTAGGGTCAGAGGGGAGGGTTAGAATGCCAATTTTCCACTCTTTTATTTCCTCTCTAGCAAAATAGATAGGGCATGCTGAGGCCCCATCGGCTGGTCTAGTCATGTATATATTTATATCCTCGACCAGTCTCAGCTATTTTTACACATAGCCTTTTCTCCATCTATTGTGGAGTTTTCTTATAATTGGTGTGCCACACAGAATGACTTCCTCTATATAACTCTATTTTCTGCATTCCCCCACATACCATTCCAGCAACCTGTCATCAAGAATGCATGATTGCTTTCCCTCCTTCCCACCTGCCATCACTGCGGGCAACAAACCGGTCAACAACTCGCATCCAATTAAAGAAACTTCCCTGTTGACTTTAAAAGATTGGAAGAAATATCCTCCCTTTTCATGCTCTTTCATCAAAATGTTAGCCTCATAAATAATTTCTAGATGTAGATGCAGGGTTAGATGTGGAGGAGGGTTTACTGTATCTACCCTGTCACTTTGTCTATGGTCTACTACCTCAGAATAGCATTTATACAACACAACTTTAACAAGTGCAGAGGGTGCTCAGGAAAAAGTAATCCCACTTCTAAAAATTAAAGGCAACTGAAAAAAATGAAGCGATACAGAGCCCCGTAAACTGATGGGGTATTTTTTCCATTGTACTTCCTGGTTTTTGAGCATCACCACTTGCTTTGATAACATGACCTTATTTGACTTTTATCATTAGGATGAAAGAACATTTAAAAATAGAGTTGCACACACCCCTCTCCCGGACAGCGCATGATGATGGATGTTTTGACAGAAAAGTGCTAGGTGATTGCTCCTATTCCCAGGCATGCTCTGGGTTGAAGATGCCTGCTAAATAGTTTCCATTTTGACCAGTTTTACAAATATGCATGTAAAGTTGGTATTCTAGGTACAAATAGTGTGTTAAAATGGGTGCCAGTGATTTCTCTATTTTAGGACTCAATCCTGACTTCACTGGGGTTGATCCCAGCTTTGGATCAGGCCCATAAACCAGACGAGAGCAATAAATGGCTGTTTATAGGTATCCTGTGAGTAGCCTACTTAATGAAACATGTTCCAAATCAAT